TGGTCAACAAAGGTTGTATCAAACGCCCTTTTATTTATAGCGTTTTTGAACTGTAGTGTACGTGGATTATAAGGGTAGGCGACTTAGGTAGACCCGAACTTTGTGCTGTTGTCACATGCTTGTCTTCGGTTTAGACGGAATGTAAGGTAAACTGATGCGAACTACATGCACAGAATTTGCAGCTTCGCTTTTCTTCGACTCTCTGGTTGTATAAACGGACAGTAATACTAATTCCGAATACCTCCAGTCGAAAAGGATCAATCGCGGTTTAAAAGTACCATTACTTTTAGTATTAATAAAGTTGCGCGCCAAAGACATGCGCACAATCGCCTCTAAAGTCGTGGTGCAGCAACGTGTGCGGGATAACAGTACCTTTTTCTAATTCGTTTTACCCAAAATCTTAGGCCGGCCCCTCGTGCATCATTTTCATCGTCTATAGTTCAATGATTGGATCGGTTGCGTTTTCTTTGACTTTTTCGTGGCGCACTTGCGACTAGTTTTTGGGGATGGATAGCAGCACGTACGGCGTTCAAGGTGACGGGGTTAGGTCTGATAAAACGGCACCGCTGTATTAGAAGATGAGCCTAAGGGTGGGGGTGAAAAAGTCAGGGTCATAAATAAGGATCGACCGAAAGCTCGCTGACCCATGGCCGGGGTTTCGGATTACAGCGGTACAGACTACAGAGTGTGTGATGTCGGGGAACGGTACTTGCGAGCGTTTAATACCTTAGTGTCCCGTATAAACTTTCAAGCAATAATTAATCGGGTTCGGGGTATAAACTTGTTTTTGATGTGTATACATATACATACAAGGAAGTTTGGGTTAATCCTCTCCCGGCGATGGCGGTTGGGTTGTGCTCTTCGAGAACATTTTGCGCGCGAAATAACGTTTCGGCCAAGTTTTTCTCTTTCATTCTGCGTCCCTTTCTAGTTTATTTCTTTTTTTTTTTAATCTTTTGTCATTGTCACGACCGGTGATTGTGTATATCTGGTTTCCCTGGGGCTGCTGCAGTGGCTAATGAGCGAAACACCCTTTTTACTCCGCCCCCTCCCCTCCACCGTCTAAAGTAGACCCTTGTGAATTTCGTCAGAGTCGTATATACATATATTTATATATATATATATACTGCTGCTCGTATTTCTTTGCTTGCTTATATATATTATGTGCTCTATCAGTCAACTGGTTCAACACAGGGTGGTGCTGTCGGCTTTTATTTTTATTTATTTATTTTTTTTTTTGCCTTTTGGGTAATGAGACGGAACGCTTTTTGGCCCCGGGATCGCATTATTCACCGAACGAACCGCGCAAACCTCGACTATACTCGTTCATAATGTTTTGGTTTCAACGATTTTTTTTTTCTATAGACGTTCACAAAGGAAGAGCTTGACCGGCAGTAGTTACACACTATAACGCGTCCCGTCTATTTCCATGATAATATATTATCATGGATAATGATGATAATATATTATCATTCACATTACACGCCGACATTGTCGACTCGAATCACAATATGATATTCAGACGACAGCCTTACCGAAAAAACGATATTCAACTTGGGGGTGAAAACGCCTCTTGTGGTTGAGCCGCGTGAATAAAACATGCGACCGATTTGAATTTAAATCGAAAACGTTGGGGTGTGATTTTAATTAAGTTTCGTTGTTGTTGTAGTATTTCTATTTTTGTACTTGGGCAAATAAATCGATAGAAAATACTGGCGCGCGGGTCTTGCCGGCGAAGCGTGTATATCGACTCAAGTCGACTGGAAAATCGTTCGTCTCGTGTGTTGTATTGTGAAATAATTTAGAAAAATATATATTCTGATATTTTTGAATTTATATCAAATGAAACGGAGGTTTAATGTGTACACGTTATTTTTTGTTCGTACATTTTTTATATGTTATCCATTTGGTGTCAACACAATTTAGTTGCACAACAGACAAACTAATAATAAACAGTGGTATTTGTGTTCGGCTTGAAGGGTTATTTTACTATTATAGTGCCTAGTTATTGTTTTTTTTTTTACGATCCGGCAATAGTTTGACACTGACGTCTAACCTCACCTATAACATCCCTTCGTGGCGACAACTCTCCATCCGGCCATGGTTATTATTTGTAATAATTGTATTTTATATGTAGGTGTCCATTCCCTAAGTAGATTTTTTTATTTAAGTCGGAAACACAGCTCGACGCGTTGAATATACATGTTGTTTATAATATACATATATAGTATTATATTGTTTTGCCTGTAATATCGTTTGTCTCGGTGTATCGTATAACCGCCGATGACGCCGTCGTAGGGTTTCGTCTGCTGACCCTAAGTCCCGGCTATATTTATGTAACAGCTATATGTATATCCTCTGCGGTGGCGGCGGCGGCTGCGTCGACGGTTTATTATAATGTCGATATCCAATAAAAGAACCCCCACCGAAGCTGTCGCGATCGGTATCGACTTGTTGTGTTTTTTATGGACAAAAAAAAAAAATAAACGTTTCCGTAATTTTCCGGAAAACGTTAAAGTTGACGGCGGTATAACGGGAAAGAAATGGCGGCGGCATTATATAGACACTAGGGACTAAGGTATATGTACATGTACATAGGTATATGTATATGTATATAAGTACATTATATTCTACCGTAAATAGTTTAAATCCAACGACATATCTACACTGCTGTGCGCGACTTCTAAAGGGAAATAAATTGCATTTTACCGGCGTCACCTTTTGAGTAGACCGTGTTCTAGTATTGTATAGATATACACACACAAACACCCACCGACTGTGGGCAACCGCAATCTTTTGACGTGGACATTTGCATAATGTGACAAGTGGCTACCGCGGTCTTTTCTCCTTTTCCCCGGCCTTCCTCTCCCCAGTCGCCGGCTCTCCGTCAGGCCTCTGTTGACCACCGTGCGGCTACTTAACTTCCTTCCTTATACTATATAGGTATACAACATATTCACCTTTTCTCTATGTACCTTGCCGTCGTCGTTTTTTCTCCTTTTGGATATTATTACTTATGTGTGGCGGCGTCGGCGACTTTTACAGAGTACCTCCTGTGTATTATATTAACCTTTCTCTCTCTTTACCCCATTAAAGAATTGAATCTACCGGTTGTTAATGTAATTATCCCGGATGACGTTTACAAATTGTCCCGAGTGAGAGGGACCTAACTAAGACGGGGACGAAGGAGAAGACGACGACCGCGACCGCCGGGTTCGCTTTTTACGATAAAAATGCATATATATATATATAAAATAAAAAAGGAGGTAGCCTTACATCACCTCTCTCTCTAGTCCATCTCAATCGGAGTCTCCCCATTAATGGCACTTTAATAACATCTCCGCAAGAGACCGGGCAATTAAATACACATTACAGTTATATGTTCTCGGTAATGCTTAATAGTGAGTCTTATAAAAAAAAAAAAAAAATTACACGACTACAAATACTTCTTGCCGGGGCGGTTATCCGGTGCGCTTCGGGTGTCTTATTCTTCCCCGACACCCCCTCGCCTTCTTTGTCGTTATAACGAACAACATAGTGTTCTTACATTTACTTGAGCGCGTTATGTATTATTATTATTACTTTTATTCACATATTATTATATAGTACTTTTTTTTTCTTCTTTCCTACCGAACGCGTTGTCCGTAATGACGTACCAAATTATGTGAAGATTTCGGGGCTCATTAAGCACACCGGGTGTGTGTATATACGGGAAAAATGCGTTTTCGGCGTGTTAATGATGACTACACTATTATATGCACGACCAGTACCATGTATAAATGCCAGGTCGCCTCGCACTCGCTTAATTTTTATCCCATGGGTGTTGTAATAGCCGGGTTCCTGTTGTGCGCGTAAAAGTCATCAATGGCGCAGTACCGCTCGTCCTAGAAAAATATGTTCATTGACCGACGGGCTCGATGGTATGTTTGAATTATCCCATTCGGTTTTGCTACTGGAATTATACAATAGATATTTTTTATCGTGTAGGTACGACGGTAATTTCGGTTTATTGTACTTACAATACTTCCGTGTCTTCTATGCGTATGTTCGGTACCCTCTTTTTAGTGCGCATGCCTTTTTTTTTTTTTTTAAATACACATTTGGTATGCATAATATTACACAACGAACGACGCAATAATTTATTCTCGGCCGGCTTATGTATATGTTCGGCGCAGAGAGAAACGACTGCTTGGCGGTTGTCGTCGCGGTATTATGTAAATTTTGGTGCCGCAATTTCGGTGGGTCGTCGTCAACGAAATCCGATCAAGACGAATCGCCAGAGACACGTACAATACTAGCCTGTATATACCCACCACACACAAGTGTATATAATTTATAAATTGCGAACGAGAGAGAGACAGGGAGAGAGTATGTGTGCGAGAGGGACAGAAAAGGGGAAAGGGCACAGAGGTGGTCCTGCAGTTGATGAGATTTCGGCCGGGACCCTAGCTCACGGTTCAACGGCGGATGATGATTCAATGCGCGCTGTGCTTGCAAAAGCAAATGAATATATTGCTCGTGTATATATACATTATACACACACACACTATGTACTATTTACCCAAGCCTTTGAAGGTGCCGGTGTGCGGCTCGTGACTCATCCCGCAGGATAGGGCACACGACCGACCGGGGTGGGCGAAGGGAAGTTCGTGCTCGGAATGTTTTCAGAGGTCCCCGAGGGTCGCCGCCGGATCATTAACCCAATGGGGGTTTTTATTTACTGTATATATATATATATAAATGTATTGTGCAATTGACAAAACGGTGACGGCAACGACAAATTTCGTTCTGGCCGACGACAATTCCTCTATACTCACACACACACACCCACTCGGGCACAACAATAGAGCCTTGTTAATAATATTGTAAAAGCCCGGGGGAAATCCGCCCGGTCCTCTTCGAGCCGTTTTCATTCGGCCTTTTAACTCCTCCCGTGGTAGTATTTAAATTTTCCGTCTACATATCTATACTTATGTTTCTAATAATGATGTCGTTTGCAGTGGGTCGAGGAGAGCTACATAAACTTTGAAAAGGGCATCAACTGGAGGTCGTACGTGGTGTGCGACGTGACCAAACAGAACGTCAACAATTGGGTATGGACGCCGTTCATCGAACGCGGTCTGGCCAACCTCATCTACATCGAAGTCAAGTTCACCATACGGGACTGTTCGCTGTTTCCCGGTTTCGCCCTGTCGTGCAAGGAGACCTTCTCGTTGCTTTACTACGAGTTCGACGTGGCCACCCGGGAACCTCCGCCCTGGGAACCGGACAGTTACAAATCAGTCGGTCAGTATATTTTTATAGTCTAGACTTCGCAATTTTGCTTTTGTAATTGAAAAAACAAACAAACTTATACCGCTCTCATTTATAATAAGTGCTTACAGAGAAAAAACCAATGTCCGTAAAAATATATCGCCGCGGCCTGCATAATATTGCATGCAAAGTGTAATTGTTTCGCTCTCCCTCGGTATATTAATTCGTGTAATGCGATTTTTTAAACCAATTATTTTATATTCTTTTTTAATAATAAAATATCACAACATTATGTACACCGCGCGTCCAGTGATAATATTGTAGTATGATGCCATTTTTTCAAATGAATTCGTTAGCTTGAATTAAACTGGCGGGTGGGGGGAGGAGGGAGAACGCGATAACTCCCCTCTTCACGCCTAAAAAAAAAGTCTGTGTCCTTTGGGAAGGTGCAGGGTTATCGCAGTTCGGTTTTCCATAGAAGACCGTCGTCGCGGGAACAAGCGAGCATGTCAAACGCGCTTTGGGACGTGTATTTTTTTTATCAATGGACGGGATCAAAAAAAAAAAAAACCAAAACAACAGCTACACTGGGTCTTTTCTGGGCGGATTGTTACAGGTAGATTACCACCCGCGTTTATCCCTCACCGCTTTCTCCTTGTCGACCCGCATCGCTTTTATCGCGGTTAAAAACTTCTTACTCGAGTCTTGAACACAGCGGATATGCGGCTTCCGCCTTAGGATTTACCCGTCCACGTCGGCTATGGCAGATACCGTAAAGCCGAGCCCCGCCGGGAAAAAGATTGTTTTTTATAAATAAGTTTACAGCTCAAAGCCCAAAGGCCGACGGCCACTGTTCCGTTTGGGAGTTGGTGGCGGTGCGGTGCCTGGTGGTAACTTAAGCTTAAGGACAGTATACCGTGGAAATAATCACGCTTGTCTGTTGTTTCCCGTACAGGTCGGATAGCCGCCGGCGAAGGTAGATTCAACGCCAACAACGAAGTGGTGATCAATACCGAAACGAAAACCGTGAAAGTTACCAAAAAAGGAGTGTACTTTGCGTTCAGAGACCAGGGCGCTTGCATTTCCATCATGGCCGTCAAAGTGAGTACATTATTACTTAAAATTGTTTTTGGTAAGAGTACAACGTGCAGACCACTTGGCGAGGCTGTATATTTAAATGTACGCATAGGATATAACCTTGAGACTTCAGCAGTGAACACGAATTGAACATCCTGTTATAGACTTAATATTAACATACAATTATTTGGGAAATTCTCTACGTTTTTTTTAAATCGGACAATGTGTTCAAACGGTTTTGTTCTCCGTTCTCCAGGGGAGTCCCTCTATCGGTGGCGCAGTGAAGAGATTTTTTTTAAACAAGCTCATTGTTTGTAATAGTGCAATTTCTTATGGCGGTCAGTAGTATAATAAACGTCTTTTACGTTTTAGACTGTACGATACCTTGGCTTTTAATTAATTAATGAATTACACGTGGGCAACGAAAGCCAAAGTTAGGCCGTATCTTATATCGGCATGCTTCTCTGCGAGGGCGGGAGAGAAAGGAATATTATTATTTTATATTGCCGATGTCGGGAGGTCGGTAAAAATAACGCTGCTAAGCGTGTTCTTCCCCCTCGTTAACGGGGCACCGTTGTTTTGATTAAAATTTACAAGACTATTTTGCGTGAAAGACGACCGCTGAAGTAAATAATCACGCCCGCGGGTAACGGTTTTTTAAAACTTTTTTTACTGCTAAAAAAAAACCTATAAAACGTTTTGCGCCTTGTTTTTCTTTGTCGTACAACCGCACTAATCACGGCCCACACGTCGCTGAGGTTGGGTTTCTTTCTCGGTGAGACAATATATTAAACAACATTAAAAAAAAAAAAAATTCCAAAATAATGTCACTGAAGACGAACGGCGTACTTCCATGAACCAACTCGCAGATGGTGCGATAGCGGAGAGGGGTAAAAAGCTATACGCGATAATTATGTCGAGAGGGCAGCGAGGGAGGGGGGACCGGGTGGGCGAATTTATAGTTATTATGGTTATTACGGTAACGTCTCCGGAGTATGTCGGGTCGTAAATTTGTCCGAGTGTAACAATAAAAATAATAATAATAATAAAAAAGAAAAGAACAATATATAAGATTTAAAAAAAAAAAGTAACTCGCAAACTCCGTCCACCGGCAAACATCGACGTGACGGTCCGTTAAAATATCATGTTCTAATATATTATATTAACTTAAAAATCGCTCGGCAGCAATAAGTACATTATGCGTGAGAGCAAGTATAAACTGTACAGAATGTACTTGTACAACAACACGGTACCGGCGCTCAAAAGGTGTCAGGTGTCACGTGACAAGTGTTTCAATATACATACAGTAAACGGTACACGACGGGAGGAAATTGTTTAGGGGTTTTTATTTTCTTTCCCTGGCTGCTATTTTTCTCATCATTATCGCTGTAAGTAATAGCTATCAGTCTACTAGCCCAGTGCATGTTAACCCTTGGTATTCGTTATAGAACAAGGAAGACAGATGTCGGTTAGAAACCTCATTAACGGGAAATTCGGTTTCTTAGTCTCGACCGCTCACAAAAGCGATACTTTTTTCACAGCGGTCGCCATTGCGCCCGTTGTTATAAAATATCTATATATAGTACAAAATGAACTAGATGGTTTTGTATAGTCGGGGGCTCTCCCTACCCGGTCCAGGATGAGCTTAATTTATAGCCCGCGGTCCATACAGCTCTTGAAGAGCAGTAGAACCTTATACGATTAAGTAAGCCTCTGCTATATAAAAGGGTCGCCGCGCACTAATTATTAAGTTTCTTAATGCATAAATGCCTTTTTTTATCTTCCCTAAATCTCTCAAAAGACAAATTACCGAAAAACTTTTTAATTCTCACCATCTTTCTTCGTTTTCCGCTCTTTTCGGTTAATCGGTCGGAAAAGGTTTAAAAACTTTTTCTTTTTATCCTCGGCATGTGTTCTCTCCGTTTTCGGCTTCATAAATTCCCTTTACCATTACCATTATTATTATTTATTTCACATGTACCACCTTCATGCAAGACTATGTATAATAATATCAGGTACCTATTATTACTATTAATTAGACACTGTGTAATACGTGTAATTTAACATCTGCTCCATATTCATGCGAACACACTGTAGCACATGTGTATGTAAGTACATCACATCACATAATACTATCATGTGATACCTGTCCGTTATGAATTGAAAATTACACCCTTGGAAGTCGGTCTTTCCTCCTTCTTTGTGTACGACTCGCCCGTCGTGTGTTGTCTATAAAATATAATAATATATAACGTTTTATTTTAACGGGCGAGCGGTCTTGTTACTGTTAGTGTATTTTTATTTTTTTGGACCGTTTCGAAACTTGACTTTTTAATAGCCTCGCGAGTTAAGTTTTATTTGTATATGTGTATATATATATAGTATTTTGTTTTATTCTAAAGCGACCCCGGTCATTTTTCTCTCGTTCTTTTGTTGTTTTTCAAGTCACAACGCCGCGACGGTGAATGGGATGCGAGAAGAAATAGGCACGTTATACTGTATAATATAATAAAATAAATGAAACAACTGCTTTGGGTTGACGTCTCTACACGGAAAACTACTTTTTGTATCGACCATCATTTAGTCGAGATTGACAATTACACGCTACGGGGTGGTTTGTCTTGTTAAGTCTCCGCCGTCCGTGTTTGGTGTTTTAGTTTAAAATGTATTTTATTGTTTTTTAGTTTTTTTTTTTTTTTTTACAAACGGTCACGACCTTAGTTGGCACCGGTTGTCGGTGTGTCCGCTGGGGGCCAAACGAAAAACGATTTATTCTAATTTTATGCAGTTGGAAATTTCTTTTTTTTTTTTTACTTCAAAAACAACAACAAATCTTAACACTTCGATTTTTTTTTTTATTATTATTTCAGGTGTACTACGTCGTGTGTCCGGAAGTGGTGATAAACTTTGCCAATTTCTCGGCCACCCCTACGGCCAGGGAACTCACCCAAATTGAACACGCCACGGGCAAGTGCGTGGACAATGCCGAAATTGTGGGCGGCACTCCGACTTATCTGTGCAAAGGAGACGGCAAGTGGTACCTACCGTCTGGCGGTTGCAAGTGTAAGGCCGGCTTCGAGGCCGACATGGAATCGCAAACGTGCATCAGTGAGTTTATATATAATATGTTGTATAATTCGTAAATAGGCAATAGCTTAAGCATATAGAGCTATGGCAGTCCTTAAAAGAATAACGCCATAGGTTCATTTCGTCCTTTTGGTTATAGAATATGTTTAAAGTGTTGTCCTGAATAGAAGTGAGGTAATTTAAGAGATGGACAATTGACAATAATTTTGCGCCCACTGAAATGCGAAACTTTGCGAGTTAAGTTGAGCGAAGCGTCTATTGCCAAAGCCCAAAATACCTATTGTAGTGTGCAGTAGTGAACAGTTAGTGTACAGTACGTTTCAAATTAATTAATTAAAATTGTCAAATCATCATCAACAAGTGAATAATTTTGTGTTCAATGTTGAACAGTATTGGTGGTCGTTAGTATTTTGGATGTAGTGTCTCTGTCTTATAACATCTTCAACCTATTAATAATTATTTAGTCGCCTGTACTATACAAAAACAATAAGAATATCTAAATCTCATCTCATTGTTATGGATGGACTATGGTATGTGTGTGTGTGATGTTGAATAATGGGTTCTTTTTGTTATTTTCTTTTTAAATGTTATCTTATTGAACTTCTCAACGCTCTGTAGTATAGTATTAGATGACAATGTATGCGTGTTATCTCGTAAGAACCGGCGATGGCCGGAAATCCAATTAAAACAATCCTTTCTCAGAGGCATAGCGGCGACGATAACGACAGCCACGACCGTTACCCTTCGTTCCTCCTTTGATAATAAGCCCCGGGAATTTACTTTTGGGCGATTATAAATTATGTCAAAGGTCGTTTGTCGCACTACATTACTAGTGCGGAGGGGGTTAGCGGGATAAAGGCAGTCGCGAGCTTGCCGGGAAACTTAGATAAACTTTTTGCGTTATTCGCCGGGGCCGGGAAAGCGGAGATAATTAGCAGAGATAAGAGAAACCACGTTATCTCGTATTACAGAGGACGACGTGCAGTACAATGTGTACCTATAAAACAAACAGATTTTTCATTTTTTTTTCCAAAAGAAAAACGAGTATAATAAGAAGAATCGTTTAATCATTTCTCATAAAAAAAAAACAAACTTAAATTCTTTGTGATTTATTTTCTTGTTCCTTTAAAATCCAGAACGCGTCTCGTTACTTGTCATTTCCAACAAAAAATATATAAATTAATAAAGCGACAAAATATAATTGGAATTCTTTTTGGGTTCTCTTTCGTTTTAAACGAGTAATAGTATACCTATACTATTATTATTATGCTCGTATACGTCAAATTTTTATTTGTTTCTCTTGCCGAGAAAAATCCGGTCCCCCGCCATTATCATTATATATTAATAGGTATGAGTAATAAAAGAATGAAGAAAAAACTGGTTAATTAGTTGGTCGAGTCGTTCGGTAGGGACACACGGCACAGGACACCGCGGTGGGCTTCTCTAAACTGTATACGGCAAAAATTCCCATTTAAGTACGACAGGTTCATTTTTTCCCCAAATTTATTTATTTACACGTCGACGTTATGGCCGGCCGTATTGTATATTATATGTAGATCCGACATAGGTGGTGGCGGTCATTAACGGTGGACTAGAAGAGCTGTGCGGCGACGGGTAGGAGGAGGTCGGTCGCTGCCGTCGATGTTTGCTTAATAAACAATTTATATGCTAAACACATACACACACACACGAGGCGATATTTCAATAACCGATTCTAATTGCCCTCTCGGCCGGTATATATTATAGGAATAATATAATTATAATATATTACACGGTAAACAATGACGGTCGATATTGGCAAGCACACATCACCGTCGTCGTGGACGGTAAAAAAAAAACATACACATATCAAAATTATCATTTGCTCCCTTACACATGAATGGCAGAGCATGTAGACTTAATTTTTTTTCTGCGAGTGTAGTGGGTCCGAAAAATGCGTTTACAATATGTTTCGCTCCCTCTCGGTCGGATGAATGTACGTAATGTGTACAGGATAAACATGGTAAACACGCAAAAGGTGTACTTAAAAAGCTAAAAAAGAAAATCCACGTTTTTTGAATAAAAATCGACGGGCGTGTGCGTATGAAAGCAATAACGACAATAATACTAGTAGTGCTTATGTATAGAAAGTTGAGTGAACAAATTCATTTGGTGTAGCCTTCGAGTAAAGCTTTTTCAACTCAAATTCTGTGGGACTTTGGAGCTAGTGGAGGGTCTTGTTGCAAAAACCGCCGGTAGACGTATCTCGTTTTGTGTAGACTTCAAATCGTTAGGCCGAGGGGGTTTTCGGGTGTTTGTTAAGTACACGACAGTTTCCTGAGTAAATATAGGTGGTTCTATATATAACTGTGTGTATATTATATACCTATCCCGTTTGATTTGTAAGCGATTATAGAGATCCCGCATGAACGATGACGCGGCCCGTGATCTCTGTGGCCCCGTGTGCGTGCCGAGGTCAGCGGTTAGCACGGGCACGTCTTGTCGTCCCAGCGTAGGTTCCCGGTGCTCACTCGGAGACAGTGTGTGACCGTATTCGTGCGAGTCTGACGAAACTCGCTCGTTGAATGTCAATTCTAGTGAAAAACAAACAAAAATCTATGATCTTAAAAAAAAAAAAAACAGGGAACGCGCGTTGAACGACAAACGACGAGAGACGTTATCGTTTGACGATGATCTCTTTTTGTTGCGTTTTTACCGCTTCTTCACGAAGTTAAGTTTTTTTTTTCTTAGCACGCGTTCGGCATACTTAAGCGGCGGGTAACGTCCAAACGGCATAGTCCGAATACGTGTAATAATAACGGCGCACTTTTTGGCCGTCCGTACAATATAGTAACTACATGCAGGATGATAAATGTCCTGCGGTGGTAGTAACAGCAGTAGTATATCAGCCTCGGTGCTTATATATTAACAACGGAATAGAGGTGTTCCCGTGGGAATCAATCTTGTGATCGGACGGCTGCCGTCCGGGATGCGAGGGGGGGGGGAATGGTGTAAGTAATATAGTACATGCGTAACGCGTCCACCGACGATTTGTCTCTATTAATAACGCCAATATATACCGCTGTTACACCGAAAGGCAGCAACAGCAGTAGCTATACACGTCTACTTGCCCGACGTGTTCACATCTATCATGCAGGATCCCCTCCGATATTGTAATGTGCTTGTCTATCCTGCACCTATTGTAGGCGCTAAGTTCTACCCTCGTCCCGGGCAACATCGGGAAGTCGCTCGAGGCAAATGCGTATGTTAAAATTGTATTTGTGTTTGTCCGCAGTTTGTCCTCCCGGAAAGTACAAGCACGGCGTGGGCGACGACAAGTGTCAATCGTGTCCGGCACACAGCAAAGCACCGGAACAAGGAATGTCCGAATGCCGGTGCAACACCGGATACTTCAGACCGGCCAAAGATCCCAAATCCGTCCCTTGCACCCGTAAGTACATCGTCTTGATTATAAAAATCAAAAACAGAACCGTTACGACTATAATTGTTGCGGACCGTTTATAAAAAAAAAAAAAAAATACCGCCAGCGCCAAAGTCGGTGGTTCGTTTATTATGTGAAGCCATTATTATGTAGGCGTGATAATTATTGTTATTGAGACCGTGCAATTAAATTTGTCGTAATCATTTATCTGGTACACGCTTCTTATATAGGGGTGTATAAGAAAACTGGTAAAAGACCGACCGAAGGCTGCGCAGAGGTGGTGGTAGCACGGGGAGACGCGAGCGTGTTCAAAGGGTCTTTTATTGTATTGTGTATATTATTTACTTTAATAATAAGAATATCATACACTTTCTGCGCTTTCACCATCGTCGAACAACCCTCTTTGCCGTCCGGAACCGAGAAAACCTTGTACATACAAACCGTTTGCGGACAGTATTAATAATTGTGAAAACCGCTTTTTGTAAACGTCCGGTGGCCCCGAGTGGCCTTTTTCGTCCCCTTTTAAGTCGATATCCCTGCGGCGGTCGCCTCGACTAGTTTTATTACTGTGTGTACTTACTTGGTTACTTTGTTGCTCGCTGATTGCGCTTCGTTCACCGTAGCCCAGAATATATCTGTACAATTTTAAACGAGTTAAAAGTGCGCGTGCCTGCCACCGGCGAAGGAAGACAAAAAACCATCGGCGACAAATGCGAATTTCACGAACAACCATTTAACATTCAATCGTTGTCGATAGAGAATTGCTTTGTGAATATTAATAATGGACAAAAAAAAAACGGAGATTCCGCCGCCGTTGGCAGACGCGGTCATTACGTCAAATTATGTAAATGAGAGTAACAAAAAAAAACTAGTTTCAATGTATATACATAAATATGTCTTTTTTTCTACCCGACGTTCGAAGATTCTCCAGTAAAATAACGTTGATTAATAAAAAAAGAAAATCACCAGCGAACCCGCCAAAGGTATGATGTTTTTTTTTTGTTTGACAAATTGTTTTGTTTCCACTGGAATTTGCATTTATCTTTCGATCGTTTCCCGTTCATTTGTTACTTTAGCTTCGATGCAGAGCAGAGATGCTATTGTCTTTTGGTTGCGACCAATTTCGGCCTGACCCGTAAATGACTTCGGTTTATTAATGGCGACTAATTATTAGTATTCGCCACATTGGGCAGAATTTTCTTGTTTATCTACGGCTAACCAACCTAATCTAATCGATATGCCTTTCCGCGCATCGATCAGGTATTATCTAAGTACAATCTACGTGTACCCACCCCCCACTTGACTTAATGTGTTTGATTTGAGTGGTTTTCCCCCCTTAAACCCGCGCCTCCGAGCGATTGTTAAAAAACTGATTGCCAATAATACGGTTCGGTAAGTTTTGAAAACAACAATAGTCTCGGTTGACGTTAAAAATCCCAAGATTCTTTGTCGTTTTATTGGCTGCCACCGCCGCCGACGTTGTCCCGTTGGATTGGATCGATAGCCGCCGTTGTCGCTGTTCGCCACAAGTAAGTACGGTGTGGTGCACTTAACGCCGAATTCAATTCACACAAGACTTTTGTGTTAACGCACACACACGAGCTGTCGTCTATGTATGTGTTGTTGCCAACAAGACGGCGGCAAGGGAGGTGAAGAGGGCGCCGAGTTAAGTTATTTGTCCGGTTCGGTCGACCGCCGTCAGAAAATTCGAAACCCAATAATCCGGTTGATCGGACGTTTTATATTATTTTTCTCGGTTTTTTAAGAATTCCGCTTGCGAATACCCCCCCCCCCCCTCTGTCATTGTCGCCGCGTTCGGGTACACATGGTCGTATCGTGCCGCTGCACAAAAACATGTCATCCACCTCGAAGACAACCGATGTTTATCTATTGAAATCCTTCGGCGGCCAACACAATATAACGGGTCTTTTGTCCGGGGTTATGTGAACGACAATAATAATAATAATGATAATAAATACATAATACACGTATAAAACTAGTCCAATCCCCTTTAAAATAACATTATTGCGGCGGCGGTCGATTTCCAAGTTCGCCGTCGTCTCTCCTGTGTCTTTGAACCTCCTCATTGTTGGTCGTCATCGTCTACAATACATTGGATATCTGTCTCTGTCTTGCCACGAATCCGTAAGATGTTTATCTGTCGCGGGGGACGACGTTTTAGTCCATCTAAGGATTACGTTGTGTGTATATATTTATATGGACCGGTCGAACTGCGCGTAGGGAAGCATTGAGAAGTAAGGATGGTGTACATGTACATATATGTAGGTATACGAGAAACCGTAATACTATGCCGGCGATAAATCTTAGAAGAAAAAAAAATCTGAACGACAGTAAACAACACGGACTTATGTGTGTTAGTGTGTGTGTGGATTGATGTAAAAAAATAAAATAAAAATCTTATCGGCAGATGGTTATCGCTGCGGGTGTACACAAAACGTTGGGAATTGAAAGGACACGTCTTGTGAGTTGTGTGTGTTCGACCGGCAAAACGTCGCCGAGCGATGATCGATACGATGAATGTTGTTGTTTTTTTTAATTTTTACAAAAAATAAAACTGGGAAAAAAACCTGACAAAATATTGTATTTATCTTTCAACCCGTTTGATCCCGAGTTTTACAGTTACTTACATCGTGTTTCGATTTTCGAATTACACCGGTATGTGATCATCTCGCGGAGCTGAGAAAGCTTAGACCCTAAAAAGACTCTTCAAGCTCCCTTGGAATTTCCTCAGATGATTCGATAGATTTCCTCAGAAAATGTCAGCTCCCCCACGGAACAACTGATCAGTTACTGATTTTTTTTTAGAGTAGGAAGGAGTTAAAAATTTCTCCATAACTCTTCCTTCTCCTCTCTATATACTTGGGTTCGAAAACGTCGAGATAACCCTTTGTATAGGAATGTTCGGAAAATTCGGACTTATAGGCCGAAGAGACTTTGAGGAATGGCTTAATTAAGTTCTATATGTCGAGGACTAGACTGTAAAGTGGCCGAAGAAGGAAACCCCGGCTTTCTTTCTCTAGGCTACACTTTTTTTTTTTTGCTTCGATACGAAGCTGTTTTTTAATTGAAACTCAAACAAGCGGGGTATACTTTTTTTTCTGACGTTTTTAATGAAATCCCTCGTATAATAATCACGTAGTATAGGATATGTAGATGTCTATATAATATTATGTTATATTCTAAGGGACTACTCGGCGGCGGGTCATATCTCTTATATTATAATAATGTACGTATGCGTATTTGCACTTAGTTGGGAGAAAAATGAAAAGGAATGAAAAATATTTCCTCTGGTTTACGATATGTTTGCTGTTTTTTTTTTATGCGCCAAAGCTGCAAACAAAAAATAAAAACCTTAAAAGGGCAGCGAACGACGGCGGTACAATCCTTCTCTTTTGCGCGTGTGTGTTTGTGCCCACTGATTATAATGAGAAAAGTCGCCGTCGACCCAGACGCGACGAAGTCTCTTGAAAAATTAAAAAAAAAACTGCTGTTGCCGCACTAGTACATGGACAAAAGCGGAACGGCTTTTTAAATAGGTATATGTTTCCACTTTTTTTTTTTTTTTTATTAATATTTTTATTAATTGTATCTATATACGAGGCGCGGGAAATACCTTGTGCATACCTACTTGTACGACATTGTACAGTAGAGTGTACTACGGGTTATATACTTGCCGGGCAAAATGGCGGTTAACGAAAATTCCACGGCGGCTAATTATTTTCGGTTCGTAACAAATGTGTGCTTTGACGTTTTTCTTCTGCGGAAGTCGTCCCTTTGTGCGCCGTTCGAGTGTAAACAACGCACTCGAAAATCCGTCGTCGCCGTGTATTGTGTTGGGATGAGATAATTAGGTCTGTGTATCCGATAAGTCGAGTGAACTTTTTGATTTTTTTTATTACTTCTCTTTTTTTTTTTTGATTTTTTTTTTTTTTTAGGCGACGATCGCTTATTTTTACAAACGCATAATACAAGAAAGAGCACTCCACTCTTTACGGAATAGTAAAAAAAAAACCTTTTTAAATCTGTCAAAAGACGGCACACGCGATTTTGTGTTGATCCGACGAAGACGATCCGATATAGTTTTTCGCATTTATCAGACATTTATATATATATATATATATATATAATATAGGGTTTACGCCGCAGTAGTACTATTATCTGCCTTGCTCCCTTCACTCCGCCACCCCCTACCACGTTAACCGCCGGCGCATTATTATTTATATCGGATTCACGACGACCCGGGGTAAATCCAAAATCGCTTTTCGCGTATTAAGCTGACGGCTACGGGGAGCGAGATTACTTTGGACGGAATTTTCTTCTCTTACTTTTTATCCTTCTCAATTCCAACCGACCCTAAGGTGGTTGTAAAAAAAAACGCGCGCGAGTATAATAAATTGTCCGGAAATTGCCGCCACCACCGCCTCGTCTGGGCGCTAAGGGAGGAGAGGGGTAAGAGGGATGACCGAACGAACGAAATTGTATGTGTATATTTATATATATATGTATATATGTATTTTATACAAGAAAATAGAAGTAACGGGCGCATGTAATCTGTTGGCCCGTGGTCGGTTGTTTATAAAAAGAAATATATTATTTTCATTAAAAAAAAAATCTTTTCGGTTTTTTTTAAAAATAATTAAAACTTTAACCGTACCGCCGTTTTTTTTTTTTATGAAAACGGGTAAGTGACCCGGCGGCGACCGAGATCGTTAAATTGTACGTTTTCCGTTTTTAACCGCAATTAAAAGTAAAAAAAAAAAATTCGTTTTAAACGAGAAAGTAGATTTAGTATTTTTTTTTTTTTTGCCCCAACTTCTCTTTTTGGAAGTTTTAAACGTGTACCGCTCGTAGTGCATAATATTAATATCGTCGTTCGCCATTCTACTTGGCGACTTGTGCGGGCACGCTTGTTCAAACAAAACGGCAAACATGGTTTTTAACGAGCAGCAATTAGCCTATGAAAGAAAAAGTGCGGCCGCGTGGAAAAGGCGGACTTGCATATTTTAAATGGCGAGGGCCGCAGGAATGTAAAAGGAGATGATTGGTGTTTGCACAACAATATGCTGTTAAACGGCTGACCTCTGCCGAAGGAGAAAATGACCATGAAATCTACTGTCCGGCTCTTCGTCGTACTTTGTAGTGGCTGTGTTGTTTTGCCAATGTTTTGTTTGCGCCGTGCATCGTTAAGGCGGTTAAAAAAAATATCTTTGCCGACGCCAAAGGGAAAAGAGCGCGTCGCAAAGCACAGCTATTGCACTTGAATAATAACGACATATTATACGGATATGGGCTTTGATAAATCGTTTATAAGGAGTTATTGTGTGTCACATGATTTTTTTGGTGTACAAAACTACAACATTCTTTAGTACGAGAATTTCCCTTACTCATTGCTTTGTCGATATTTTGCAGAACCTCCGTCGGCCCCGCAAAACCTGACCGTGAACTTCGTGGACCAGTCGACGGTGACCCTATCGTGGAATCCGCCAAACTTCCTTGGCGGCAGGTCCGACACCGTCTACAGAGTGACTTGCGACTTGTGCGGACAATCCGTGATGTTCATGCCCAACGCGGTAAGTAAACCAATGCTTCGACGGGTGGATAAGTGATGACAAGTCGTGTATCTGTGACCCTGCTACCCCCCCCCCTCCCCCTCTTTCGAACGTATGCTCAAATACGGACTTCTTGCAGGACGCGTTCAACGACACCAAGATAACGATTAGCGGCCTGAGCCCGGTGACCACGTACAAGTTCCACGTGTGGGCCGACAACGGTGTCAGCAACTTGACCTCCAGCGAAAACCGGCAGTTCGTCGACATAGCCGTCACCACCGAAGCGTCCAACGTCAAGTCGGCTTCCGTCAACAACGTCCGGGTGACCCTGGTCAAGGCTTCGGAGATCGCCCTGTCCTGGGATCCTCCCATCGGCTCAGGGTTTCCGGACTCTGGCGTCGACGATGCCGTGGAAGTATACGAGGTGAGTTGTTGACCCCTTCCCCTACTCTCCCACCTACCCAGCCACCGGCAACTATATCTAAATCCGTCGGCGGGCTGGTTTGCGGTGTTTGTCGCAGGTGAGATTCTATCCACGCGGCGAAGAAGGTAACGCCAACAACAAGCTGACGGCCGACAAGCACGTAGTGTTCGGTTCGCTGAGACCCAAAACGGATTACGGCTTTCAAGTGCGCGCCAAAACCGCACACGGCTGGGGCGAGTACAGCCCGACCATTTACAAGACCACCGGTCAGCTTCTAGGAAGCGGTAAGAGCACCCAACAACAGGTCCAAAGAAAAAACGGGATAAAAGACGACACGGGTAAAATTGATTTTCAAAAAAAAAAAAGCGCCACTTAAATATCTGTGGTTAAGTCAAAAATAGGGTATAGTTTGGCGTGAATTCTAGTTGAATTTTGTCTCGGAGGCCCAATATTTGTATTAAAGTTTAATATTTTTAATATTATTACTTTGAACAATTTAAATAAGTTTCTGCAGTCACATTGTCCTTTTTTTTTTTTTAATACAGAACCAATGAGGGGAAACTGTTTTTCAATGACTTCCCTCATAGTCACATTGTCCTACCAATCAATTACTATCCGGTTTTGGTTGTTACCTGTGGCCACAGATATTTAAGAGGCCCGACCCTTATATTTTGTTTCATTTTTTCTCGGCTCGTTATTGTTTTTGTTTTATTACTATTATGATTGCACCTAACTAATGATTTTATTTTATCGCTTTTAACAGCTTACATTGGCGACGAAGATAACATGGAAGTCCGGATTATAGCCGGGGCCACCGTGGCCGTGGTCGTGGTCCTAGTGGTGGTCATCATCATGACGGTATTGTTTTTGAGAAGGTGAGTTAGGCGTTCCCACGATTATCCATTTTGATTTTTGATTTTATATACTAATTTACGATTTATTCAACTGCGACATATTCAATTCGGGATACATCTCGTTATATTATATTGTTTCCGTCTTCTACATTGTAATGCATTTTTCGTTTTTGTTTCTTCCAGTCGAAGCAACGACGAGTGCAATAAAAAACAACCGAGCGATTGCGACACCTTGGAATACAGAAACGGAGAAGGTAAGGGTTTATTTTCTATTCCTCCACTTAGGACCCGAATAAATTAGTTTGAAATAAAAAAAAAACCGAGTATAGTTTAATAAGTCCGGTATGGTAAATCCTACACAATCCTCTTTCCCGTATTGTCTAACAATATACCTTTTAAAATAATATATTATTATTGTATTACCTAACGCACTTAGTTTTTTCATGAATTTGTCTTGTGTGTTTAACATGCATCCATTAAAAAAAAAAACAGGACTTGTTGTTACCTACAGTAAGTGTAATAATATTATGTTTAGTGTTTTCCGTTTTGTTTTTCGATTCGTTCATCCCCAATTGTATTATATTATTTTGCTTGTGATTTTGGTTTTACCCCCTTTTTTTTTCCTTATGTATACTCGTGCATTTCCCAAATAATAATCCGCCATACGTTTTTGTAATTACATTAATATTTATTATTAACACATTTTAAATCACCGGTGGCTTTTCGAATAACTCAAATCGAAAAACGATTGCCGTAAAAAAAATATTTTTTTTTTTACTGGAGTTTCTGAAATTCCACCGGTGTCTTTTTTATTATTATTATTATACATCTTTTTTATTATTCGTCCCGACTTAGCCCAATGTAGCGCTCGTCTCTTACACCCGTAATATAGACAATAACCCTCGGGCGCTGACTGCTAATAATAATATTATTGACGAAAAAGCTATAGTTTATGTTTATTTTTGTTCGCCTTGCATTCTGCTTTGTGCTTTTGGTGTGAACACTTGTGTTTTGTTTTTGTTTTCCAGTGCATTGCAATTTGGACAACCCTCCCATAGTAGCCACTCACACTAGCAGCAGTAAGTCCAACCGATTACATCCAGCATAATAATATACATTATACATAATATGATGATATTATAATATAAAAATACAGTCTTCCATTTTTGCCGCTATCTATTATTTTATTAACACTCTCGATGTCGTCCGAGAATTTTCGACGGGTTTCATGACGTGTTCTTTTTTTATTTGCTTTTCTTATAGTGACCACGCCGTTGTTCACTCAAGTGGGTTCCACCACGTCCAGATCGTACATAGATCCGCACACGTACGAGGATCCCAACCAGGCCGTCAAAGAGTTTGCCAGGGAAATCGATGCTTCTTACATCACCATCGAGGCCATAATTGGTAAGCAGCACATTACTTTTTTTTTTAAAAACCCCAAACTTACTTGCATACTTAACATTGTTGTTGTGGTCGCAGGCGGAGGAGAGTTCGGCGACGTTTGTCGGGGCAAATTGAAAGTGCTCGGTTCGCCGTCGGTAGAGGTGGACGTGGCCATCAAAACCCTAAAGCCCGGAAGTACGGACAAGGCTCGCAACGACTTCCTGACCGAAGCGTCGATAATGGGACAGTTCGAACATCCCAACGTTATATTCTTACAAGGCGTCGTCACCAGGTCCAATCCGGTGATGATCATTACCGAGTACATGGAAAACGGTTCGCTGGACACTTTTTTGAGAGTGAGTATATTGACAGATGTATGGATATAGTATACACATCAAGGGCGTCCGTGCACGCGTGAAAGGGGGAATGACCATTCCATTGTAGCAGGCGTCATCGTAGAGTTGACAATAACATGGGTTTTTGTAAAAAAAAAAAAAAAGACTACCCAATTAAGGAGGTAACCTGGCTTACAAAGCTTAAGTAAAAGGTTCTTGTCCTTATCCCTTTTCTTCGCCGTTCACATACAAATGGGGTCGGCCAGCCAGAACGGCTCTCTCCACAAATATCCATTTATGGCCATTTCTTTATTCACTTCACACACCTTATCTACATTTAGATCCACATTCACATCTGTAAAACTAAAATTTTTCCGCCAAAATCGTATTTTTTCCTTTACAGCCAAAAAAAAAAATATTTCCCTTTGAGTCACACATTACCTTTCTTTCAAATTATTTTGACTGTGTTTTCAATAAGATGCTCAAATGGCCAGATTTGATTTACACCCCCCCCCCCCCCACCAATGGACGCGCGTGATGTTAGCGGTACGTTCGTCCGCCCTATCCCCTGATGTACTAAACGTCTTTTCCTCCACAGGCCAACGACGGCAAATTCCAAGTGCTCCAGCTGGTGGGCATGTTGCGAGGCATCGCGTCCGGCATGCAGTACCTGAGCGAGATGAATTATGTGCACAGAGATCTGGCGGCCCGCAACGTCCTAGTCAACGCTCAGCTCGTGTGCAAAATAGCCGATTTCGGCCTTAGCCGGGAGATCGAGAGCACCACCGAGGGAGCTTACACCACCCGGGTAAGCACGGCGAGAGCTGGTTGTTGTAGTGTTTGCGTGTCGGTGTCGACCGGGTTTTCCTTTGTCCTTGTTGTTGCAAGTTCCGTCTTGTGTCCGTCTAACGGGATGTATTATATGTTTTTACACAGTTTTCGAATTTCCAGGGCGGAAAGATCCCTGTACGGTGGACCGCGCCCGAGGCAATTGCTTTCCGGAAGTTCACCTCGGCGTCGGACGTCTGGTCGTTCGGCATCGTCGTGTGGGAGGTGATGTCGTACGGCGAACGGCCGTACTGGAACTGGAGCAACCAGGACGTGATCAAGTCCATCGAGAAGGGTTACAGGTTACCGGCGCCCATGGACTGTCCGGAGACCATTTACCAGCTAATGTTGGACTGCTGGCAGAAGGAGAGGACGCACAGACCGGTGTTCCTGTCCATAGTGAAAACCCTGGATAAGCTGATCAGATGTCCCGACACGCTGCGGCGAATCGCCCAAAATAGGTAAACACCGTTTAAAAAAAATATATATATATATACACAATATGTATTTTTCATATTTGTTCGAGTAGTAGACCGAACTCTGGAGTTGGCGATAACCCGGGGTTTAAATAAAAATGCCCGATTAAGTTATTATTGTTATTTTTTGTTGTCATATTATTAAACCCAAATCAAATCTGGTTCACAATTAAAAAGTGGTTAAAACCTGGATAAAAATATTTGGTGGGCTTAAACGAAAAAAAAACCCGCTGGGTTTTGCGATAAACCAATTATTATCGTCCTCTTATGTTCGTAAACACTGTTTTTGCCTTTTGGTTCGGTCCGCTACTTGTCATCGATTGTGTCTCTTGGGCTTTGCATATTCGTTTTACATATTATTATTATTGAGTGCTGTTCGCGGCGCCGGTTTTTCGAGTTTGCCCTAAAGTACAGTTGGAACAAATGTTAAAATCATGTTGTGGACTTTGCTTGGATTTCAAACTGAAACCGCTGCTAACCGCCATCAGTACCTCAAAATGTTTTTATTTTATTTTACAATCATAATAATTTTTACTCGGTACCACTGCTGATTGGAGCTTATTATTTATTTATTTATTTAACTATATTTTGTATATTATATTATGTTGGCTTTTTTTTTCGTTTTTATCGTTTTCAAGCATAAATACGTTTTTCATAAATAATTTGTTCGTTTTTTTTTTGTTTTGAATGCGTGTGAACTGCGTATTTTAGCTTTAGCAAATTTAAACAATTTTAATTCGTTTTTAAAACGACGACAGTAGATAATAGAATGCACAAGTCCATCCCGTTCCGAGCAAAATATAAGTTACAAACGAATTCTCAGTTGACTATTTTGCCCAGATCAAAATGTTGAGTAATTTCAAAAGTTCATCGGCGGCAAACGTTTAACCGCTCTCGACAACATGTTTCTCGCCTTATCGAAACTCACAATTTTCTTAACGTGCAAATGCATTCGCGTAAGACGTTAGCCGTTAACAACGTTTCCCTAGTGAATTTCGCCAAAAGTTTCCTAAATAAAAGTTGCTTAAATGGCAAAGTTTTTTATGTGCTCGATCTGTATATTCCGTTTTACATTCACAATTTAACGGTACCTACTCCGCAGTGGTGTAATCGACGGAAGCATAAAGCCACCGCCAGGCATATATTTTTTATTTTATTTTTTATACCTACTCGTATTTTATAAAAAAAAAACCGTATCTACCGTTTATCCGTCTGCCCAAGTTCTTGTCTGCCGATTACTATTCTTGAATCCTGTAGTGCAGTCACTTACGGATTTTGGCCGACCGTTTGATCGCCCACAAGGCCTTTTGTCCTTTTGCTTTTTTTGTGAGTATAAAAAAGAAGCTTGGCTCACTCATAACTCTGCACGGGAGCGCGCTCGTCCTTGTTGATAAACATGCACTGTGTGTCCTATGAGTAAGGTTAAGCCAGAAGAATTAGGAGATTAGCATTTAGTTGGATAGTTAAAAAACCAAATTATTTTTAAAATTTGATTTTAGTACAATAAAATATCATAAAAATATATTCTCTAAAAATGTCGAGAGGTCCAACAGTTAGAGGAAATATTTGGACATCAGGCGCTGTTAAAACTTTTACTACGATATTTAAAAAAAATAACGACAGAATAAATTCAAACAAAAATAGTGCTGAGGGTTTTTTACTTTAAAGACGCCATTTTGTTGATATACAATATGTATATGTATTTTATAAAACCCTCCGGTCGAGTACTGCTTTTATTTACAATTTAGAATAATCGATTGTAAAATAATTTGGCCTCCGTATTTGGCCTTCGAATCTTTCTTAAATCGATTTTTCGAGTATTTTTCACAAACATTGCTTTTTGAAAATATTATACACTTTTGGATGACTTAACATTTTTTTTTGCTTATCTCTTGAAAGTTTCTCGTTAAGTAATCGCTTTGAAAACAATTTTCCATATTTTTAATAGTATGATCAAACTGTGTCTTAATATATATACTTACATAATAATCGGCACTGTGGACTTGATTGAACTGCTCTTGTTTTTGGGTCTAGTTGTTAACGACTAAGTGTGTACAAAACCGTTTAAGGAGAATTCTTTAAAAACAAATTTTAACGCCTTACGGGAATAACGCTCTTTACATACGTATATATGTACAAAATAAAGAATACACGTTACTTACGGTAAAACATATACATATTAGATTTAGCCTAACACTCCTAGGTTCAGCTTTGGTGTCCGGTGCAAGAAAAAAAAACACAACATTGTGTGTAATATATATATTTTTAATAAATAATTTTTTCCCTCTAATTATTATTATCGTTTATCATGTATATTGTTGCTATCTTAATGTTTTTTAACTTACCTACTTACTATATTTCTCATTAACAAACGCATATATTGGGTTTTGCATGTTTTCTCTCTGGACACAGCCGTCCGCCGCCTGTTAACCCGTATTATGTGCCGGTCGTATTTAAGTGTGGCTCGGATTGGGTGTCGTTTCATCACGAATAACGGGCAAAAAAAAACGTTTATGGTTGTCCGCGAAAAGAGAGGTAATACCCGTTGTTATTGTTTGATCGCTTAATTATGATTTTTAATAATGATGTAAAAAAAATTAAATTGTATGTATTTGTAGCTGGAAAATACGCATAATAATAATAATACTTATCTATCGAGCGGCATTTTTTAGATTTTTGCTTTTTTTAGTTTTTACAATTTTTTAGTCTTAATTTATATGTATAATATTGCTTTTGCACTTAATTTCCATGTATATTATATTATGGCAAAGTTGGGCAGCGTTGGACACATTGCTCAGCTCTTGTTTTTTAATGTTTTTGAATGTGAATTGTAATCGCTTTATCGTCAATGTTGTTTCAGGTCCGTTAACCCTCTGAGCTGCGATGCTCCGGACATGACCCAATTCAGTTCGGTCAACGAATGGCTGTGTTCCATAAAGATGGCCAGGTACTTGGACAATTTCGAGCAGGCCGGCATCGTCAACCTGAAAGCTGTAGCCCGACTTACCGTGGCCGACCTGACGGCGCTGGGAATCACGCTCGTCGGTCATCAGAAGAAAATCATGAACAGCATACAGGCCATGCGTGCCCAGCTTTCGGCCAACCTGTCCGAGGGCTTTCTGGTCTAAGTCACACGGCCAAAAGCCAAAGGCGGCCACCATATTTTCGGTTCCTAATCTATCGACGGCTTCGGCACTTAACTTTCCAAGTACCTAGACTGTACCTGTAAATTATTGATTAATGATTATTATTATTAATATTAACCGGAGAGCATTTCCTTATTTATTTATAATTTTTTTTTTTTTTTGTTATTCTCCCTCCGATATATTGTGTTGCCTTTTTTTTGCCATCGACAACTCACATTCAAAACATTTGAACGCCATCTTTTTGATATGATAATTACCTATTTTGGTTTTTTTTTCTATTGATAAAGAAAGAATCCCCTTTATTTTTCCTACCCGACAATTTTATATTATATATAATAAATAGGAGTAGAGTAATACGTATTAATTTAATTCATTGTACGACTATGTATACTTTGTATATTGATATAGTAAAAAATAATAACTGTAATTGTAATTGAAAAAATTGTGTTTTTTTTTTTTTTGTTAACTTGACGTTTTTCAAGGAAATCAAATTAAAATGTTTTTGACTTTTTTTTCAGGGATAATCTAAATTTTTTTTTTTTATCGAAACGTGTTACAGTTAATGTATATATATTTTTGTCGTTTTTCGTGTGTACATTGATATGTTGAAATAATGTTGTGGTGTATATTTATGTATAAAATATTATTGTTGTCTCTTTTGTACAACCAGACTGTTTTTTTTTAGTTTTTATAAATTATTGTATTTTTACGATGATCCAAACTTGTATTATTATTGTAAATAAAAAAAATTAGGCATACTCTTGTTGAGTAAAAATTACAAACAAATTATATAATACAACAAAATTTAAGTATTATTTATAGAGAAAGGATGTTGTTTAACGTTAAAATAAGATATTTTATATCAAATTTTTTTTTTAAAATTATTTTATTATGAATAATTTTAACGGCAAACCGATGTGGGGAAAGACACGTCCGCCAAAGTTAACTGTGATAAATAAAAAAATATATTAAAATTTAAATTTAAAAAATAATAACTATTTGACAAAATTGTACAGTATTTATAGTATTTAGTGATCTTACTAAAAAGTCCCCGGTTTGTATTGTGTTTTCTAAAAATTATTATTAGTTGTACACTGCCTAGGTTCTACGTAAATCTATGTTTCAACTTTATCTAAAAACTGGCAAAGAATTACATTTCATTTAACTCCACTACTAATAACTAATTCAATACGACTACCTCAACTGCATCTATCTCAACTCACAAACTTCCTAATTTTCAATAATGATAATATATACACATATATAGACAATGCAAATATCAGATATAAGTAATTTTTTTTCTCAACAATTCGTTTACAGTTCCGTCCAGTATTTTAAAGTTACAGTAGTCACCAGTTTTTATTATTACAATAACTATTAGTTTCGGTTAATCTTCTAAAACTGCGCAATCTTGACCTTTCTCTCTAACCCATTTTTTAATTAGCATTATCTTATTATCTAACTATAATAATTATGTACATCTTTACCCCGTGTGAAAGATAGGAAACAAATATTACGATTCCTCGCCCGATAAAAATTCAGTACCCAATAGGTATACTCACCCTGTATTTACATATAATATATAATTTATCAATTGTATAAGCTTCTACTTAAACATATTATACATATATACACTTATATTAATATATTTTTTTCTGTTTGTAAGCTAATTATTATCATTTTATGTAACTAGAAACATGTTTTTTATTATGTTAAAAATTACCATCGATTCTTTCGTTTTTTTTTTTGTATAGTCTTTATATTTACACCAAAGCTCTATTCGTACGACATATGTCTTAATAGAGTTATTGCGAAAATGGGCTTTGTATGTATATTGTATAACTCGTCATTATATAATTATAATTATGTACAGTATAATAATAAAAATATATAAATAAAAAAAAAGTCCTACGTATTGTTGAATTTCCAAAACCTAATGAATTAAAAAATATATCATTGACAAGTAACACTGTGTCACACTACTACAACATAAATACACAGTTCTAGTCGTCTATATTGGTACTAATATTAATATTTTAACCAGTTAATTTTTCAATATTCCATTGTTCTTTTATAATATATGCTTTAGAAAATGTCAATAAAAACATAAGAACAAAAATTTAAAAAATACATTTCTAGCCTAGTAATTATATGGTGGACACCCCTCTTTCTAAATGTTATTATTTGATCAAATAAAAATAGAAACTGAACAATTACCAGTTTTTTGTAAACCTTTATTGTAAAGTTTTTCAACATGTGCACTACATTTCGATATTTAAATTTTAATTAAATGAAATGATGTCAATTGCCAAGCAAACTTTATACATTAAAATTGCACAATAAATATAATATAAATATATATCAAAGCAGACTGCTGTACAGGAACTAGTTACAAAGTTACGAAAATCAGTAACATTCTAACTTCTTTATTACTTTTTATCTGTCGCAATTAACAACTTAACAAGTAAAGTTGAATTGAGTAACTTTTCCAGTTTTGGTGTACATCATAACGATCAATGTATTATTATTATTATTTAACAGTGTATTCTTTTACAGCAATCAGTGTCATTGTCGTATAATAAAAGGTAAATAAATAATATTAAATGGTAATAATATGTTTTATAATAATTCCGTAATATTTAAAATTGTCTAGTTTATTAATATTGCTGTGTTTAATTATATACTTCTGCCATTAAGTGTATACATTTGTTTATAATGTAAACGGTTGTTAAACTCGGTACCTAGACGGTAAGTAAGTGTTATCTTGATGCCTATTTGTTGTAGGCTGTAGCCATAGAATAGGTACTTATGATTTTCATACTGTTTGACTTTTGTGTATGCATTGAAAGCTAATCATGAATCGTACCTACGTGAATCATAATCGAACGTGCGTGCAATATGTAATGTGTGTAAACGGAGAAAAATACATACATTTTCGACATATTAAATTAAACAACAATTGTGTACATATGTGCATATTTTGATGTGTTATGCTGCAAAACCCGCGTACTGCGTAGGTAGAGTTTCCGTTTAAAAATAAAATTATAAACATAATACGCTTTACACGAGCTCATAATATTAACTAAGTGTCAGCATTTTATAATGTATAGCGTAGGCGCAATACGGAGATAGGATTAATGTAAATGGTACAACAACATCTAAATCGAACGAGGTTATGTAAACGTGCATAATAATATACATATTATCCGTCTGGTACACAAACGGGAGCCGTTTTTGATGTGTTTGAGTTATAAATTAATTTGATACTGTAATCTCATTGCGCGCATTAAAAGGTGACGTAGGTACTAAATCCAAATGTTAGAACTTGGAATTGGACTAGTAATCAGACAGTGTTGGGACTATAGCTGTTGCCCACTTTATTATAATATATATATACAACCGTGTGTGTAAGATCTTATGTAGCGCGTCTTTAAGTGCAACAGTCAACATAATATTATGTTTTCAAAGGATTAATCTTTTTCGCCATATCCGACGCAATACGATGTAAATATAATAACAGCTACAGGTTTTAATGTTTTATTACAACATGATGTGCCAGGGCAGATTATTATATTTTGGCGGTGTTTACCTATACCTAAGTATATAAGACTACTTATATACTTACTGTGACTAACTCATATAAGCGACAAAACAAAAACCTTGACGGATTATATAAGTTTTAAAAGGATTTTCGTATTTATTAATTTCAGTACCTACATCAAAGTTATACAAATAAATATGAAAGTCTATAAGTAAAAATAAAGTCAAAATTTCATTACCTAAAAATAAAATCTAGTTTTCTCAAAAGTAGCCTGAATTAATGTTTCTTCAAATTTCACACCATGTTGAAAACAATTTTATTTATCCTTGTAAAATCATGGTGTTTTAAATCAAAGAAATGAAATTGCATCGAAGCTTAATAAAAATACATAAAATGTATTTAAAATTAATAATTTCAAAATGAAAAAGGCTATAATTCCCGATAGTTTAGAATGTTTAAAAGTATTATTAAGAAAATTATTAAACTTTTTTTAAGAATATTTTTGAGTCGGCCGGTTTCCTATAAGGAATTGGCAGTTTAGTTTTTTGATATGGAACCCAGCTGAATGGTATTTGGGTCGAATACATTAAAATACATACATTTGGTTGGCCGCGTGGTCAGTGTCGATCCTAAGTCAATATGCGAGATATCCCCCTCATAAAAAAATGATTATTGATTTTCAAATAATAACTTACATACTTGATTACATTAATAAAATAATTTTTGAATAAAAATGTATAGATTCAACCTATAATAAATGGGATTTTATAATAACCAAATCTAGGCCAGTCACTTTTTATATTACAAACCGCTTATATTAACAAGATAGTTAAATATTTATAAATTTAATTAATTTTTACCTAATCAGTTAAGAAGCGGGGTCTGCGGGGATGCAAATTATTAATAAAATCATGTTATTTTATAACTTAAATTCTACAAGATTAAAGCATTGGGAGGACGTTATGCCCCTGATCGTTCTATATGATGGGTTTAGAGCATCTGTTATGTAATCAAAATTGGTATAATTGAAATTTTAGAGCGAATGTCATTTCCTTTTCAAGATATGCCCTCGAAAATTTTTTTTTTACTGTTCTAAAGACAGTTTCGCGGTTTTTATAACCGCGAAAATACCAAATTTTGAATTGTTTCAAATATGCAACATTGTGCAGTGAAGGGTTTAAGCACATGTCGATAAATATTTTCTTAGTGACATTAAGCCGAACAACATACACTTTTTATGGAAAATATTCATAAATTCATTAGAAATCCATTTTTAAAAGCGAGTTAATTTTTGTAGGTAATTATAGATGGATTTTTATTTCATTAAAAATACAATATTTGAAACATTTTTATAATTTTTGTGTATCTCGTATTGATTTTCTATTTGAATTGAACTACTACCTACGGGTTGGTTTTAGAATCCGTTTAGATACCAAAAAATATGGATTAAAATTAAGCTCATTTTTTTCTAACGAAATCTAACTTTACACGTTATGACATTGTGCCGACAGCCGGAGATGGGTATAGGAAATGCACTATATTTTTATTATAATAGGTAAGGACGTTAGATAGGTAGGTGTCATGATCATAATATCCTTATCTTACAAACATGGCCGCCGCCACCCGCGCACCGGCCGGTGGTCCTTGCTCTCGTGAGTCAACGGTGAATAACCCGCAGCGGCAGACGTTACCGGTGCCGATCGACCAATCAGATTTCGCCACGAGCCGCTGTCGACAATAACGTCGTACCGATAACAGCAACGTAGACCAAAAAAAAAAATTTAATATTTCTTCGTTCCCCCCGACTTTGGTTCAACGCACTATTCGCTATACTTAACTACTTCTAATATTAATAAAACTTAGCAAACGTGTTCGGTGCAACGTTTCGTTCATTGTTATCCGGAATTTTCGTTATACCGGTTACGCGACGTTTGTCGCATGACCGTTTCGTAGTACATTACAGTCAAAAATTTCGTGTGGGTTTACAATCTCGTCGTTCACATTGTACCAGCTAGCAAATTTATTTGAGTAAATAAATTCTGTTCGCCTTAACGACCGGCGAAATATGAATCTGTTGTTTTGTTGTAAGTATATTTTACAGGTTATCGAATCGACGAACAAAACAACATTTCTTCAAATTCATCAACAAATATGATTTTTTATCGCAGGTGTTACATTGGCGGCCGTCGTCGGGTCAACGGTGCACGCGATTTTTCCATCCAACTCGGAAGTGATCGAACTGACTGATTCGAATTTCGATAAAAAAGTGTTGCAGGGAAACGAAATTTGGTTCGTTGAGTTCTACGCCCCGTGGTGCGGACACTGTCAGAAATTCGCACCCGAATACGCTAAAGCCGCCAAAGCTTTGTCGGTCAGTATCTTTAAAACTGATTTTTCGATAACTCGATGTGTGAATGACACGTGTATTGACATTTTCCAGGGTCTTGTAAAAGTAGCTGCCTTTGACGCCGACAAGTACCCGTCTATTGCAGGTCGTTATGGTGTCACAGGTTTTCCCACCATAAAAATATTTGTTGATAAAAACAAACCCAACGATTACAAAGGCGATCGAACAGCTATCGGACTTACCGATGAAGCATTCAAAGTAATTAAAAACAAGGTACTTGCCCAACTCCAGGGAGTTCCTTACGGATCGGCAAATTCGTCAAAGAAATCTTCTTCTGGAGATAATGTCGTTGAGCTGACGGATGCTAATTTCGATCAGCTTGTATTGAACTCGAACGACATTTGGTTAGTTGAATTCTTTGCACCGTGGTGCGGACACTGTAAGAACTTGGCACCTCATTGGTCTGCCGCCGCAACTGAGCTGAAAGGAAAAGTAAAGTCATTAATGTTATTATAAAAAACAATAATTCCTTAAAATATTCTGAATAATTATCATATTTCTTACTATTAAAAACTGTTTTAGGTTAAACTCGGAGCTCTAGATGCTACAGTACACGCGTCAAAAGCTCAAGAATTCAATATCAGAGGTTACCCGACAATCAAATTCTTCCCATCGGGTACGTCTAGTTACAGTGGAGCTGAAGAATACACAGGTGGCCGAACATCAGCGGATATTGTTAGCTGGGCTCTGCAAAAACACCAGGAAAACGTGCCAGCCCCAGAAATCAACGAGGTAAAGTCACTGTGGTCTTAAAAATGTTTTTTAACGTATATATTAAAAATAAATGGGTGCCCAAACGGAACGAGTATTTGAAATTCTTGTACTTTGGGTATCAACAAATCTAATATCTATTATAACTATAATTTTGTTTTATTTATTAATAATTAAGAGTTTATTAATTTATTTAATATATTTTTGAATTGACAGATTGTGAATGAAGAGGTTTTCAAATCAGGATGCTCGGAACACGCTTTGTGTGTAATATCTGTGTTGCCACACATTTTAGATTGCCAGTCCAGTTGTCGTACCGAGTATTTGAATACGTTGCGCACTTTAGGAGATAAATTTAAACAAAAGCTCTGGGGGTAATTTTTATTTTTTCTATATTATTTCTATGATTTCATTTGATTCAGTTCCAACTATTCCCAACCTTCCATTACACATTTATTATTGTTTGTTCACAATCTTTCCTTCCTTTCCTTAGAAATGTGTTAATGTTAACACTTATTTTGTTTTTAGATGGCTCTGGGCCGAAGCCGGGCAACAACCTGAATTGGAGTCGTCTTTAGAGATCGGCGGCTTTGGTTACCCTGCATTAGCAGTTTTAAATGTTAAAAAAATGAAGTATTCTATTTTAAGAGGTTCCTTTTCGGAAGATGGAATTAAAGAATTTTTGAGGTAAAATTTATTTTCTACATTAGCAACAGAAGCCGGTGTGTTAACGAAAATCTTTGTATTATCAGGGATTTATCTTATGGCCGTGGAACAACAGCTCCAGTTAAAGGTGCGTCTTTACCTACAATAAATACAATTGAACCATGGGATGGAAAAGACGGCGAATTGCCAGCAGTAGAAGACATTGATTTATCAGATGTTGAACTAGATAACCCTCCAAAAACAGAATTATAAATTCCATTTCCAACTTCCAAGTTCGCCCTATTTTTTTTTTTTTTGTATAGTTTATTTAAGACTGAACCAGTTCTAGAAAATGAATTACTTATTATGATTAACCATTTGGTTCTTTAACTAATATTCATTATAGTATAACCACTAAAATTGAAAACTCATATTTAAATATTTTTAATTTTTCTTATTAACAATAATATTATGCTGAATACTTGTTTACATATGTATACTTAAATTGTCAATTTACGTCTCATATTAATTAATTCCAAAAAAAATGTTTACAGAAAGTGTGGAGGAAGTAACTTTCTATACTTTCCATATTTTGTTTTATCTTTTTAATTAATAATATTTATTATAAAATAAATTATAGTGAAACATTGGTTATTCTTTAGAATTTTTATTTTAGTTGAAATATTAGTTATTATTGTTAGTGTATACATTTTATTAAAACGAATAACACGTATGATTAGTATTGTTGAATAATCACTTTAAAAGCTATTTTTCTTTAAAGTTCAATTAAACGCTTATATACTTTGTTCAAAATGAGATTGGTACGCGGAACAAAGCCGCTCCCATGCGCAGTAGGTGGCCGCCTGTACCGATCTCATTTTGAACAAAGTATAGTTATACTGAACACACTTGGGAGGTTCACTGTTAATTTAGTGTAAAAAAATAAGAAATAATGATTTATTGAAAGAAAGCCTTGGAAATAGATTGCAGATTTGAATATTATTGCATTATTTTTTTTAAGTTTGTTAAGTTTTAGAGTTAAAAAAATGTACTGTTACTCTTTGGAAGTTTTCTAATTTCAGCATTGCTTATACATAAAATCCTCCAAAAAAATTAAACCTGCAACACTGTTATTAATAATACTATTGTATGAACACAGATAAAAATACTAAACACCTTCTGTAAAAAAAAAAGTAGTCAACTTTTATTGTTTAAAAAATACAATAAATAATAATTTGTTGTTTACAAAAAATAGTACTAGTTTTATAAAATTGTTCTAAATATGGTTAGACATTATCAATATATATTATACAATCTTAAATAATACCGTGTATTTATTATTAAAATAATAATAAAGTATATTTATAAAATATATAATTGAAAAAAATACTTAGTTTGTCTTACGATTTATGAAATTCACAATTATCGATTTATGTTGATTATAATATTATCCTATGTTATTAACACAAGTTATAACAAGGAACAATTGGAAGACAATTAGTCAGTCAGTAATAACCTATTAGATGACATATTTTCTTAACATATACAATGTTAATTAAAAAAATAAAAATAGTTGGAAACTGCAAATTTTAACAGTATACAATTGTTCGCAATATTTTTACACCTCCACCTTTGAGAGGTTTACAAGTATGTTGTAGTATTAATTATGGTTTTGCTGACATCTGCATAACATCATACTTGCGTTCTTTTTTGCACAAAATAGGATAAAAGAGTACCCAATAATAAACAGCAATGGCACCCAACGTAATGAGCAGTACAATCGAAATAATCACCCATGCCGAATGCAAAAGTGTGCTTTTGCGGATTGTTTTTGAATCTGTAATTTATTATTAAAATTTACATAAACAAAGTAAGCTTGATATGATACAATATTGTTTAGTTAATATATTGATTAATTATACCTTTTGGCAAAGGCAGCTGAGATTTTGGTGCAATGTCGTCCTCTTGCTTTTTGTCTTTATATACATCTCGAGCCTCGATATCACTAACATAAGCAGCTGTGCATAAAAAATGAATAACATTATAATAATTACTTCATCAAAATGAAATTATATAGATGTACTCAATTTCATTTTTAGATATTAAATAATTTAATATTATTTCACCCTACACATTTCACTGCCATATTATTTGTTTAAAATTATTTTAAAAAAATGTATAGTATTATCTATAGTAATATTATTACAGATAAATACATTTTTTGGTATCACACAACAAATTTGTTGGTTTTATACACAAAATACTTATTACATATAGATTAATAAGTGAGTTGCATTAGAGGGTTACCATTAACATTAGAATCCTGCCCGGGCCGGCCTTGTTCAATTTGGGTTGTACGCGACCCGGCTCGTCTCCACATCGTGGCGGGTACCAAGTATAACGCCCAAGATCGGGACGGGCTATATTTGATACCTGTGGATATGCTCGGGGCCCGGCCCAGACTTACATGGCCTGTGAAAAAATAGTTGCTACTTTTTTTATGTATATATATCTCAATAGATTTTGATCAAGTTCTTATAAACGTTAGTAGCTAGGATAAAATTTAAATTATTTTAAAACTTTTATAGTTATCCATTAACCACATTAATGTATCCAGTGAATAAATATTACAATACCGTTTAACTCACCTAGTAAAACTCCTAACGTAACTACCGATACAAATAATAACGATCCGTTGTTGCTGATGGCCATTTAGATTATAATATGTTGTTGTCCTTAGACTAACAGACAACCGGGTAATATTATTTATAATACCTTCTTGTAGAAAATTACAACAAAACAAATGTACAAAGTCAAAACCTACAATTGACGTTCTAGCACTGCCGATAAATTACTTTTAGTGTACTTTTAAAACGATTGTTATTGCATTGCCTTAAGTGGTCAACATGTCAGAAAAATAAAGCGTACCCGTTACCCAAGGTACCCCTTCGTACAATTACAGCACTGACCACACAACAATAGGTAAAGGAGAGCAAATAGGTATAGAATTTAGGATAACAACATCCTGCGACGTGCGTTGGAATTTGTTTACCGATAATACGATAGAGACGAGGTTCGTTGTGATCATTATCGTTGCTAACTTTGATGGGTACAGCCGGTTCTTATCTAAATCTAGCAAAATAAAAATAATAACAATTTGAAAAAAACAAAAACAACATCGTAGTCCTTACATCTTCCTAATATTTGCCCCTATTATTATTTAATTAAAAATTCTTATTTTATTATTATTAATGATTGTTTTCAATGTATAATAGCAACAAAAAAAAAATGTAAATTTTATGTAACTTAAATTTTAATTGAAAACTCTAGTCGGAAACGAAGTTAAAATAAGTAAGGTTTACACGTTTATTTATTTTGATTTTTGAACGTTTCAATAAATTTTTAATTTATTTTTGTATAATACACTCGACAACACCAAAATCGTTGTTTGGATATGGTTTCGTTTTCTCAGTAAAAATGTATATTTATAAATGAGATGCTGTTCCCCAGCAATTTTTAAAATTATATTAACTTTCAAGCTTACTAGATATACACCACAACTACTTATTCGAATTTTATAGCATATTATAAATATATTTAAACAATATATTATTACACTCCCTTAGAAAATGCCTTTGTATTATTTGCTCAACTGTTACCTATGCAAAATATACTTGGAAGAAAAATAAATCTACTATAATTTCACCTACCAATTAGAGATAAATTTACAAATGTATCTAGTAGACAAGCAATTAATTATCATTCTAAAATCTAGATATTTGTTGAAATAAGCGCAATTTAAATCATAATTCAAGTGATGTATTTACTTTTATTGTACACATGAGTACATTTAATTTAAATTTACATTTAAATTAGCCTCACATGTTTGTATTTACCTATATACATTACACTTTTTTAAATCAATAACAAAAAAAACAAATATATATATATATAATATTATTATACTTCTCTTTTAATTTAGAATTTGAAAACCATGTCTTCTGTGCGAATGCAACAGTTTGTCACAAGGCTGAAGTCTAAAAATTTTGAAATAAGAAAACGAGCTGCAAGAGATCTAAACCTTTATGTAATTATATTTAAACAATTAGACTAACATTTATATTGTTGTTAATAATTGTAAAAATTGTATCTACTAATTAACACCAGGTCAAAACTGAGCTTCGTGAAGTTTCTGCGGAAGAACGAGCGATTTTCAACGATGAATTCAACCAACACATCTTTGAAATGGTATCAAGTTCTGACAGTAATGAAAAGATCGGCGGAATACTTGCCATTTGTAAGTTTATTTTATCATAGAGATGATAGCAAACTATTATTTTTTTCAGGTTATTTTTAATGTTTTATAAATACATTTTTCCAATTTGACATTTAGAATTTTTAATGTTGTGTCACAGCCTTACAAAATTGTTAAAAAGCATTTACTATACATTTTTTAAAAATTGTTTATTATTTGTATTTAAAAATGATAATAATTAATAAATAATGGCTTTTTTAAGTGTCAAATTGGATTAAAAGATTCTGAAGAATCATTTTTAGAAATATTACATAGATTTTTCCAATCAATAAAAATTAAATGTTATTGTAAATTGGGTATTGTCTAGTAGGTATCGAAATATTTAATAAAGTTTAAGCTGTTTAATTATTGCTATTTTTTATTTTTGTATTTTCAGTGTGTTTGATTGGAGCTGACGTTGGAAATAAAAACAACCGTATTAGTAGATTTGCTAATTATTTACGTAATTTATTGCCATCTACTGACTTGGGTGTGATGGAATTGGCAGCTAAAACAGTCGGAAAACTTGCCTTGGATTCAGGTACTTATGCAGATCAGTACGTTGAATTTGAGGTGAAAAGAGCATTCGAGTGGTTAGGTGGAGTTCGCAATGAGCCTAAAAGATACGCTGCTGTAAGTTCGGGTTTTTATTTTTTTATTGTGATAGACTATTATTTTTCAATAAAACTTGTTTTAGGTTTTGATACTTAGAGAAATCGCCACAATGGTACCTACTCTATTTTTTCAACACGCAGCTCAGTTTTTTGATCTGGTTTTAAATGTTGTTCGAGATCCTAAACCAAATATTCGAGATGGAGCTGTTGAAGCATTAAGAGCAGCACTCGTTGTTACAGCTCAAAGAGAATCATCAAAGCAGACCCAAAAATCTCAATGGTAATTATTAAAATTGAGTTACTATTCTTATCAGTTAAAATTCAATTTTACAACTTGGTGTACTTTTTAGGTATAAACAGTGCTATGAAGAAGTAATGAATGGACTAGACGATAGTCTCAATAAAGAAAAAGGCGTTGCACGCGATGACAAAATACATGGATCAATATTAGTTCTAAACGAATTGCTAAGAGTTAGTAATACTAATTGGGAACGACAATATGACTCATTGATGCAAAGACTACAGTGGAATCAAAGTCAGACTAACGCTGTAAGTTTTTCTTACTTCTAAAAAGATATTAATTACAATTTAAAAAGTTGTTAAATTAGTTAAAATTTTATATTAATAACAGAATTTGTTTACTTTACAAATTTATTTCTTCACAGGAAATTCTTAGTTTATTACCTCGAACAAAATCTGCTCTTAAAGGATTGGTAGGTGGTTCAGGTCGTACCGACGATGACTCTGTAAGAATATCGTCATCTGGCATAAGATATGAAAGCAGCGCTTGTAAAAATCTTTTGCAAGAAAATTACGATAGAGTGTGTTCTGCAGCTTTGTCTCATAGACTATCAAGAAGTCCATTAGTGCATTCGGCTCTGATGAAATTACTTCCTAGACTAGCTGCATTTAATAAATCAATTTTTGTTCAAAAGTATAATTATTGATCATTTTTTAAAACAATTTATAATACTCTATTTATGCTACATGCATTAACATTAAAAACATTTTTTTTTTTTTAAGTTACCTCAGTTCATCAATGATGTATCTTTTATCAACTATTCGTGGCCGGGAACGTGAACAGCGGACTAATGCTTTTGTCGCTGTTGGTTTAGTAGCTATTGCTGTCGAAGACCATACAAAACCATATTTGGCTAGAATTTTAGATGTCATTCGAACTTCGTTACCATCAAAAGTATGTTCTCTATTGATTATTATGCAATTTAAATTATCAGAGAATATAATTTAACATATTATGTTAATTATAATTTATTTATACTTATTTGTTTATTTATTATGGTTAATACTAAACAAAATAAAAATATTTTAGGATAGTTCTTCTAGAAAAAGACTTTTGAGTGCAGAACCCGCTGTTTATGTTTGTATAACTTTGTTGGGCATTGCAGCGCAAAACAACATTAAGACTGACCTGAAAGAACTATTGGAACCTATGTTAGCCATGGGACTGAGCCCCACATTGACTATTGCTCTTAAGGAATTGGCACTAGCTGTTCCGGCATTAAAGAAAGATATATCTGAAGGTACATTATAATTGCTTCTTTATTGTTTTATTTTTAAATAGAAATAGAGAATATGTGAAATAGGGTAGTTGAAAATTAAGCTGCAATGGTTTTGATATGTCCATAGAAGGGTAACTAGAATTGAAAGAGATCAAATTAGATGAAAGGAGGTAGTCCAAGACATGAAAGTGTGTAGAGTTGATAATGACGAACAATACATTTTGAAGGGAAATTATGAGGGTAACCAACGTCATAACTATTGGTTAGAGAAAAAAAAAATTATTTATCATGAAATTTACATTATGCATAATATTTTTTTTAAAGGTTTATTAAGAATGCTTTCACAAGTACTCAACCATAGGCATACTCCAATAGCCATACCAATATCGGCTTCAAGCTCAACGCTTAGTTTATCAATAGCATCTTCAGTTTTAGAACCTCAAAATATTGCGAGTGTGGTTTTAGCTCTCAGAACACTCGGGAGTTTTAATTTTGAAGGTTTTTTTTTTAAATTTCTACTCAAATAAATTGATAACCAACAATGTTTGCAATACTTGTGGTATTTATTTTAGGGCATTCTCTACTTCAGTTTTTACGTCGATGTGCTGAGCATTATTTAGCCAGCGAACAACAAGAAGTTCGGATTGAATCTGTGAGAACATGCAGTCGTTTATTACAGTTGGCTATAGAATCACCACAAAGTAAATCATCACACACGGTTAGGTACACAATATCGACGGTTATCAAGCAACTGCTAGTTGTTGGCGTTTCTGATACAGGTTAGTTTGTATTTGTATTTAAAAATATACATTTATGATTTAAAGCAGATAACATTTTTTAAACAAAATTTGATTAATACTTATGCATTAGTTAAACTCATTAACACATTTTATATTTTAGATCCTGATGTGCGTTATGCCGTATTCGAAAATCTTGACCGTAGTTTTGATTTTTACTTGGCTCAAGTGCACAATCTAACAGCATTGTTTATGGCTATGAACGACATCAATTTTGAAATACGTGAAATGGCTCTTTGCACTATTGGACGATTAAGTTTGGTAAATCCAGCTTATGTAATGCCACCTCTTCGCAAAACATTGATGCAGGTAACACAATGGTTATTATTATTAATCTGTACAATAAGTATTTTTTTAAACAATATTTCTTACAAAGTAACATGAATTACTTTATCTGAACAATTTTCTTTAAACTGTGGAAATCTCTGCTCACCGCCCTTTTTAATCATCTGGATTGGGCTCCTGGTAATGAGCCTAAGGCAATAGCCAATTTTACATATTTTAGTATTACAATTGTATTTCAACTTTTTTCATTAGTGTTTAACTGAACTGGAGCACAGTGGAATGGGTCGTAATAAAGAACAAAGCGCCCGAATGATTGATCATATGGCTGTTCATGCGCCTCGTTTAGTAGCGCCATACGTACAGCCAGTTTTGAAAATACTAGTTCCTAAACTTGGTGAACCAGATTTAAATCCAGGCATATTAATCAGTATCCTGGCGTGCATTGGAGATTTGGCTCAGGTATAGTCCTACCTAATGCTTAAAGATGTATTTGAAGAAAAAAAATTGTTTAACTCCTTATAATTATGACGATAGGTTAATGGTGAAGAAATGGGTTGTTGGACAAATGAACTCTTACCTATTCTGTTGGACATGCTGGGCGATGGTGGGTCACAAGAAAAACGAGGGGTAGCACTTTGGGTACTCGGAAAACTAGTCGAAGGTCTTGGTTATGTCATTCAACCATATGAAAAGTATCCTACGTTATTAGATACTTTACTCGGTTTTTTAAAAACTGAACAACAACTCTTGGTCAGGTATGTTGGTTTAATATAATGTGTAAGTTTATCACTTAACTTTTTTTCTTCATCAGTTCTTCAGAGCTAAAACATTGCTTAAGTATGTCCTTTAAACTTTACAGTCTTGGGCTAAATTTCTTTGTCTTCCATGACCCTAATCAGTGTAGTTGTAGGGTAAACGTTGTGTATACCAACTTTCCACTTTTAAATGTATGCATTATATTGAAAATAAGAAATTACAATGAACAAAAATAACAGTACATATATACATAGAAAAGTGCAGAACTCTTTATAATTGATGATTTATGTTAGTTAAATTCTTTGAAACAAATCTCTTAGTTTGATATCTTTACTGTCATATTTTATAAATATATATTTTAGGAGAGAAACAATAAGAGTACTCGGTCTTCTCGGAGCACTAGATCCTTACAAACATAAAATGAACTTGGGTCAGATAGATTCTCAAATTGAATCTACAGCTTTCCTATCAATGACAGATTCTCGTGCTATATCTGAAACCGAATGGACCACGAGTGAAATGTTGGTAAACATGAGCACTGCAACATTAGAAGAGTATTATCCGGCTGTAGCTATTGCTACACTCATACGAATAATACGCGATCCAAATTTATTTCAACATCACACTATGGTTGTTCAGGTATTATAATTATTATTATTCTGAGTTTCTGTTGTCTTTTATTGACTTATGCACATTAAATAATAATTTTATTTTTGAAATGTCACTCAAGGCCATAACATTTATTTTTCAATCATTGGGTATAAAATGTGTGCCATACATACCACAAGTAATGCCTAGTTTTTTGAATGTCATTCGTACTGCTGACGCCAATTTTAGAGAATATTTATTTCAACAATTGGCTGTACTTATTAACATTGTCGGACAACACGTTCGAAATTATTTGGATGATATATTTTTATTGATCAAAGTGAGATTTTGTTTTTAGATTTTTATATAAAAAAAAAAATATATATATATCTATATTTTTTTTAAATTTAGGAATTATGGACACCTAACAGTCCTCTCCAATGCACTCTTATTCAACTCGTTGAATATATCGTAGTGGCCCTGGGTGCCCAATTCAAAACATATTTATCACAGTTAATGCCAAACATATTGAGGATACTTTATCATGATTCTAGTAAAAACCGCAACGTCACTAAAAGGGTAAATATATTTTGCCAATTATGAATTGAACATATTCAGTATTATGATTTTATCATTTTAAAAATACTGTTAATTTAGATGGTGGTGGCTTTATGCAAGTTTGGCATAAACTTAGATGAGTACTTACATATGATCATGCCACCACTCGTCAATTTGTTTGACGCCACTGAACATCCAACTCAAGTTAGCCAAGTTGCAATGGAAACTGTTGCTCAGTTAGCTTACACTTTGGATTTTACCGATTTCGCTTCACGTATTATACACGGAATTGTAAGATAATAAATTTGCTCGTGTTAGTTGAATCCAATTTGTAACAATGTATTATTCTAGGTGAGTTCTATTGAAAACACTCCAGAACTAAGAAAAACTGCAATGGAAACACTATGTGCATTAATATGCCAGTTGGGTCGTAAATATGTAATATTCATGCCACTTGTTTCACGAACATTGAATAAATGTCAATACAACTATCCTCCGTATGATACATTAATAACTTACATATCGTCGGTTAGTAAAATAAAAATGCATTAAAATTTAATAATGTGCTGGTGTTTTTACTTTTTACTTTCGATTTGTTTAGAATAATGAAGGAAGTTTGGAAGAAAATTTATTGCTATCAAGACACAAACAATTCAAGAGTAAAAAAGAAGTTGGAATGCATGTACTTGGCGATTCGGCGACGATAATTAAAAAGGTTTGAATAGAAATTGTAATAGTTTCATCGGTTTAATTAATCGATTAATGGTTATTTTTTTAGATGCACACTTCACTGCCAAATTTGCAAAAAGCATGGTTGGCTAACCGCTGCGTTTCCAAAGACGATTGGTTAGAATGGTTGAGACGACTTGGAATCGACTTTCTTAAAGAATCGCCATCTCCAGCTCTACGATCATGTTGGGCACTCGCACAAACATACTCACAGTTACCAAAGGATTTATTCAATGCCGCTTTTGTCAGCTGTTGGGCCGAGCTGACTGAAACGCTAAAAAAAGAACTCATACAAACATTAGAACAAGCGTTGATGGTTTCAGACTTACCGGAAATGACACAAACTATATTAAATTTGGCCGAGTTTATGGACCATTGTGAAAAAGGGCCTTTGCCAATCGACACTCATATACTCGGAGAGAGAGCTATGGATTGTAGAGCCTATGCAAAAGCGCTGCACTATAAAGAGGATGAATTTATCAAAGAAAAAAACCAGCACGTTTGTCCAAATGTTGTAGAATCGCTTATATCTATAAACAACAAATTGCAACAAAAGGAAGCGGCATCGGGTAAATAGTTATTAATTAATAAATCACAATAAAAAAAAAAAAGCAACTGATAATTTTGTTAAATAGGACTTTTGGAAGTGGTCATGAGCAAACGAGAAGAAGACCAAGAACCCGGTGAACAGCTCAAAGTGCAAGCAAGATGGTATGAAAAACTTCACAATTGGGAACAAGCATTAACGTTTTACGAGAGTTGTTTGCAAAAAGAGCCTCATGACGTCGAATGGTCTTTGGGAGAAATGAGGTTAAAAAAAATGTTTTAATTAATAATTACTTTTTTCCTTCCAACAACTTATTTTAATTGGTAGATGTTTGGAGTCCTTGGGTCAGTGGGGTAAATTGAGCAATGTTGCTGCTACACATTGGTTACATTTCCCTGAAAGTGGGCGAGAAAAAATGTCCAGAGTGGCTGCTGCTGCAGCTTGGGGATTAAACCAGTGGCAACAAATGTCAGTTTACGTAGAGTGCATACCTAGGGATACGATGGACGGTGCGTTCTATCGAGCTGTTTTATCTATTCACGGAGAACAATATGAACGTGCTCAAAAAGTAATGTTTAGATTCAAATATAGATCTATAATTAATAATTTTCTTATTAATATTAAATGATGTGTCTTTTGAATATTTTTAGTATATAGATTTGGCTCGAGAGATTCTAGATACCGAGCTTACGGCCATGGCTGCAGAAAGTTACCAACGTGCTTATGGTGCTATGGTTTCTGTTCAGATGTTAGCTGAACTCGAAGAAGTAATTCAGTATAAACTGAAGCCCGAGAAACGGCCGATCATTTATAAAGTATGGTGGGACCGGCTTCAGGTAATCATATCGTTTTGTACTTTAATAGTAGGATTATAATTTGGATTCCAATAAACAAATAGTTATAAAATTTTATAATTTTAATTTAATATTATTTAATTTCAAATTAAATTGTTATTTCTATCTCTGGCGGTGTAGAGGGGTGTTAAGGATGTTAAAGTATATTAACAGTTGTGTATCCGTGTATGACAAATAAACATACATAAATCCTGTGTTATTAAGAGCCCTACTCGGACAGACCAACCTAGAGTAAAAATTATTCCAGCCAGACTGATGGCTCCTTTTTTTGAGAATTTGGATTAGACTGGGGAAAAATAATGCTTGTATTACAGCATAAGCAGAAAAAAAGTTACAGTGTTTACAGACACAAAAATCAAAACACATTATTGTAAAACCATTAGTTCTCACCTTGCCATTGAGGTTTATACATAAAGTTTAATACTATATACTTTTTTAGCTTGGCATCAAAAGTAAAAATAAAAAGAAGACATTTCTAAAATTAATATTTTTTACTATAAAAATAGTATTAGAAGTATTTGAATACTTATCTGTATTAGAATTCAAATTATTCGTTTACTTCCCTTGATTTGTTTTAGTCCTCTTTAAAACTTTTGATAATCTTTAAATTTATCATGTACAGGGTTGTCAACGAGTTGTAGAAGATTGGCAGCGTATCATTCAAGTTCATTCGTTGGTGTTGGGTCCCAAAGAAGACATGCACACGTGGTTGAAGTATGCAGCTTTATGTCGTAAATCATCTCGTTTGGTAAAGAATATATTATTTTGTAACTATTTAATAAAGTACCAGTAAATAAAACAATCTGCTTAGGTTTTATCTCATAAAACTCTCACGACATTATTGGGTATTGACCCTTCAAAAAATCCCACCGATCCATTACCCGTAGAACATCCTCATGTTACGTTTGCTTACATTAAGCACATGTGGACATCTGGGGCTAAACTAGAAGCCTACAAGTAATTATCAAATTCTTTTTTAAATGTTTAACTCTAATTATATATAATACTCTGATATATTTTATTAATTAATGTATTATTTAAAAGCCATCTAAACAGTTTGATTCAAAATGTATTACCTCAATCGAAGCGTAAAGGAAAAGAAAGTGAAAAGTCACATAATGATTCGACTAAAAAATTACTCGCAAGGTTAGACGTGATCAATTAAAAATAACATTTTAAATATTGAAATCGAATTACGTTGAATAGATGTTATTTAAAACTGGGATGTTGGCAAGAAGAACTTCAAGGTTTGACCGAATTATCGATCCCAGACGTTTTGGAATACTATTCTGAAGCTACAAAACATGATCCTACCTGGTACAAAGCGTGGCATTCGTGGGCTTACATGAACTTTGAAACAGTTTTGTTTTACAAACACCAAAATCAAAACAAGACACAATCTAATGATCAAGCTGAAAAAGGAACGGTCGATAAAGCTAATACTAATATTGAAGTAAATTATCTACAATTATGACACTGTATCGTTTATTAAATATGTAAAGTTTTTTATGTATTATTTTAGACCGCAAAAAGTATGCAGTATATTGCCAAGTTTACTGTGCCTGCGGTCGAAGGGTTCTTCCGCTCCATAGCGTTATCCCACGGCAGCTCGCTTCAAGATACTTTGAGACTTTTAACTCTATGGTTTGAATACGGTCAACAACCTGAGGTCTACGAGGCTATTGTTGACGGTTTGAGATCCAGTCAAATAAATACATGGTTACAGGTGTGTTAACTTATTATTTAATTTCTATGTAACACCATTTTGCGTTCGCATTGGATTTGAATATTTTTTATGTAATTAATACCGTTATCAGGTGATCCCACAATTGATTGCTCGTATTGACACACCTCGTACACTGGTTAGTCGACTTATCCATCATTTGTTAATCGATATCGGCAAACACCATCCACAAGCTTTGGTGTATCCGTTGACCGTGGCCAACAAATCGGCGAGTTTGGTGCGTAGGAACGCAGCTCATAAAATCTTGAAGACAATGTGCGAACACAGTCCGAATTTGGTTCAACAAGCGGTAATGGTCAGCGACGAACTGCTTCGGGTCGCCATACTCTGGCACGAGTTATGGCACGAGGCTCTGGAAGAAGCCAGCCGACTGTATTTTGGCGAAAACAACATCAAGGGCATGTACGAAGTCCTAGAACCGTTGCACGCCATGTTGGACCGCGGTCCTCAAACTCTAAAGGAAACTTCGTTCAATCAAGTGAGTTAACGTGAACGGGGCAGTGGTAAGATGCTTTGTTTGATACTTGTTGTCTGTTTACTCGACAGACGTATGGCCGCGATCTGGTCGAAGCTCTGGATTGGTGCAACCGCTTTTTAATATCCGGCAACAACCGCGATCTGAACCAAGCTTGGGATTTGTATTATCACGTTTTCCGGCGTATATCACGGCAACTGCCGCAGCTCACCAGTCTGGAACTGCAGTACGTCAGTCCGAAACTACAGCAGAGCCGCAACATGGAGCTGGCCGTTCCCGGTTCGTATATACCGGGACAGCCGGTCGTCAGGATAGCGTACATCCAGAGTTCCCTGCAAGTGATAACGTCCAAGCAGCGACCCCGGAAGCTGTGCATTAAAGGCAGCGACGGCAACGACTACATGTTCCTGTTGAAAGGCCACGAAGATCTCAGACAAGACGAGAGAGTCATGCAACTCTTCGGTTTGGTCAATACGCTTTTACTCAACGATCCCGACACGTTCAGGAGAAATTTGACAATACAGGTAATAACAATCGTATACAGCTAATTGTAATTACAATAAACATAAATCTTTTCTTAAAAAATCAAATCAAATCCCTAGAGGTACGCCGTTATACCTTTGTCTACGAATTCCGGTCTTATCGGTTGGGTGCCGCACTGTGACACGCTACACACACTTATTCGGGACTATAGGGACAAAAAGAAAATATTGCTGAACATCGAGCATAGAATAATGCTTAGGGTGAGTGTGCATATAATTTTTTTTTTTTTTATTTAATTAACAGTAAACAAGTAATTGCATGATGTTTTAAAGATGGCGCCCAACTACGATCACTTGACGCTCATGCAAAAAGTCGAAGTGTTCGAACACGCGTTGGCCAACACACAAGGCGACGACCTGGCCAGATTGTTGTGGTTGAAGTCTCCGTCGTCTGAGGTTTGGTTCGATCGCAGAACCAACTATACGAGGTCGTTGGCCGTCATGTCTATGGTCGGTTACATACTCGGCTTGGGAGACAGGTAAGGAATTTGTCAAACAAATTTAAAAGGGGAAAATTTAGGCTAGGTATATTCAATACATAGTACGTGTAAATTGGCGTTGTTAAATTGGTCGTTTTTGATAAGTCTCTCGCTGTATTAATGAAATCTTAAAAATGTAGGTGTTTCAAACTGTATTGCAAAAAATAACCCCGATAAGTTAAATTGATATACATAGATATTAATATTTGAACGACGCTCTCTGTGGTCATATTGTTATTTAATATGTTTTATTTTATTTAAATTTCAACTTTATCAAAATGGATTAAACGAATTACCCCAATTATGAAATAGTGGGCTTATTTTTTCGAGAATCAAATTTTCGGGATTATTCTTTAGCGTAGTTATTTTGAACAGTTCACTAACTTCAAGTTTTTGACTAGTGATGTTAAATTCAGAGGGGTCTCTCTGAATGTGCGTCAATGTGATCCCGTTAATTGTAATCTTACAGGCATCCGTCGAACTTGATGTTGGATCGCCTGAGCGGAAAAATCTTACACATTGACTTTGGCGATTGTTTCGAAGTGGCCATGACTCGCGAGAAATTCCCCGAGAAAATACCGTTCAGACTTACCCGGATGTTGATCAATGCCATGGAGGTATGTGTTTAAGTATAAGTTGTAGAACTTGTGGAGTTTTACACGCGTTTTGGCGTCCACAGGTGACCGGCATCGAAGGAACGTACCGAAGCACATGCGAGAGCGTCATGACCGTACTGCGCAACAACAAAGACAGTCTGATGGCCGTACTCGAGGCTTTTGTGTACGACCCTCTGCTCAACTGGCGTCTCATGGAAGCCGGAGTCGGCGCCAGAAGGACAGCCGCGGCCACGGCCGGCGCCACCGTGGTGGGAACAAACCCGATAAGCGTAGCGTCTGCGGCCACCACCGTGTCGGAAGAGCCAAGCTTGGCCACTAGCTTTGCGGCGTCCCTGAGTAAAAAAGCGGCGCCTTCCAATGTGGGCCCTGGCGGTGATGCGGGTAAGTCCTAGACAACTGCAGTTATCGACGTGAGTTTTTGTGAATACATTTTTTATTTTTGTCCAAGGCGATACGGAAAATGAGCCCACGGAAGCGTTGAATAAAAAAGCTTTGGCCATTGTCACGCGGGTTCGTGAAAAATTGACCGGCCGTGATTTTGTACACGAACAAGAACTGACCGTGCCCAGACAAGTGCATTTGCTTATACAACAAGCTACGGCTAACGAAAACCTTTGTCAGTGTTACATCGGATGGTATGTATTATTAACGATTCGATCTTTCCCAAGCAAGGGGAGCTGGGGGTGTCTACTATTAGAAATATATATGAAATATAGGATGGTGATTTAAATTATGTGGTCGGCCAAATCGCGCTTGAAAATATATAATTTCAAGCAGCTGGCGCAAACAGGAACAGGGCTTGGGGTGTTGATTCTTCGAAACTCCACGAGGAGGAGCTAAACCGGTTTGATTGCTGACACTTTTTGTAGAAGCTTAAAAGAGCTTTTTATGGTCTAAACTCTTCTCATTTTTGCACTAATGTAAATTGACGAAGAGATCAGATAACAGTCTCATTATGTGTTTGCACTTGTAACTCATTTTTAATGGAATTTTTTATTTATTAAAATTCAAAATAACACGTATTATAATCATTCTTTTTCAGGTGCCCGTTTTGGTAATTTTGACGCATATTGTTGAATCATTTTTTTTTTTAATAATCGTTATTATTATTTTTTACTCGCTGTGTTTGTAGTATAACAATATTAATATTTGATAATGTATAAAGTATATACATTGCACAAATAGTTAATCAACGTTTTACATTGTTTTTGTTTACATTTAAATTTGATTTTCAATAATAGTTTTTTTATGATATGGCTTGTTTAAAAATATGTTTCAAATTTATTTATAATAGTAATAAATATATATTTATATATATATTGTACCGCGTAATTTAGCCAAATTTGATTCCAATCAAAATTGTATACTAAAATTATATTGTTGTTGTTAACAAAATAACTAGTATATAAACAGCTTTGTTTCATTTTAATATTTGTAAACTATGTTACGTTTTATTTAAATATACCATCATAATACATTGAAAATATACCGTTTTTTATTAAAGAATATTGGATTTTTTTTTATTGATATTATAATATTAGATACAAGGTCGCCCTGACTCCTTAGATTTTATGCAAAGCTTAAGGTCAAAGGTGCAAAGTCGACTCGGCTTTCCCTAATAACGGCTGTAAGTCGTCCATACTGCAAAACTTGTAAAACACGTAAAGAACTTTTGTACAGTATACTAACGGTTAATGACAAGAGACTGTTGAGCCCGTATATTAATTATTGCCTCTTATAATAATTGTAATCTGAAGGCGTTCCAACGCTTACAGGTTATCTGGCACTGTTTCTCATGCATATATATATTTATATAAGTAAGTAGTAGTAATCAGTATACAATATCAGTATTAATAATAATAGTTGTGTAATACTCGTCGATATATGCGGAGGAAAGATAAATTTTGAGGCAGTCGTTCGCTGACCATTTACAATACAGTCGACCATTTAATCAAGTTTATTATTATTGTTTTACAAAATAAAAAAATCTAGTAGTTCAGTGTCGAGTAGTGTGATCATACAAAAATGGAACGGTGGACCGACAAGTTAATAGTCGTGACGGGTGCCAGCAGAGGCATCGGCAAGGCGATTGTCGCCGAGCTGGCTAAGTATCCGGTGAAAATTGTCGGACTGGCCAGAAACATTGAAGGTCTGCAGGTTTGTATAAATACTACATATTAGTCTGGGAATTGGTCATGAATTTTTACTACTATAGTTAAGACTCGCAATACAGTAGCTATACATTTGAATTATTCACCGAAGAACCGGAATTAAAAATAGTTATTTTGTATTTTTTTCGCATTTTTAAAAAAATTGTATTCGTTAAAAAATATCACTAAAATAATGGCAATACAAAAGAAAGTATTTTTTTATTCGAAGGAATAGAAAATTATAGTGTAACATAAAAATTAATATTGGATAAAAAAATAAGAAAAAGACAATTCGAAACAATTATTATTTTGTTTGTAAAGTTATTTTTTTTAAAAAAGTGTCAACTTTTTTGCAAATCGTTGCTTGAATTTATGTTTTAAAAGTAATATTTTATTTTTTCCTAAACTTATATAGTTAGTAAATGAACAATATGATCTCATTTATCTCGGTTTAATGTTCACTAATTAAATATTAACCGCTTAGGTTTTTTTTTTGTTTATACAACGTGTTGTCTATAAGAAAGGTGTGTAGAACTAATATATAACTTTGCTAAGTCAACCCGAGTAAATGTGTTTTGATATAATGCAAGTTCTTTTTATTACGTTTTTAAAAGATAATTCTTTCATCGAAAAAATGTATACAACATTTATAGTTAGTTTTTTTTTAATTTAGGGTCATATACCGGTGTAATATAATATTATGTAAAATTATTTTTTTCTAATTGCATCATACGTTAGTGTATAAGTGTGCACCATCTATTGTGGTTATATAATGATCATATAAAATCTTGATCGAAAAACCAGACTTGTATGATTTTTTTTTGCCGTATCTGAATAAATATAGGTATTAAGTTAGGCGATAAGAAAAATAGTTGGCAAATTGATTTGTCGTTTACCTTGAAAAGCTATAATGTATAAAACAAAAAATCTTAGTTGAACGAGTTGAAAGTTTGTAAACAAATAGTTGTATATATTTTTTACAAGACTTGGACAATTTTAATAATCAAGGTACATAGTGTGGCACAGGTGTCATACGTTTTTTTTATAATTTACTGAGATTTACTGTGGGATTTTAAAATGCATGGCCCTGTACTAATGTTATGTGTATTGAAATAGAAATTACCTAATGGTAGGAATAATTTGAATATTTACTATTTAGCATATTAATATATGTAAGGTTAATTAGGGTCATATAGCTAAAGATGACTTTTTTTTTAATGCACTTATTACACTCGTGCGCTACACCATCGATGTTGTGTGAGTGGTAAACAAATCAAAACATATATTATTTGTTCGATGAGTTACAATTTTCTGAATCGTTGAAGTTAAATCAAAATATTTTATTTTTCATGAGTAGTGGTGTAATTAAACAAGCAATTGGGGAAGGTTTATGCTTGATTGCTCTTTCTGTGTGTTTCCACTTTTTCCAAAACAAAATGTACCCAAATCTCATGCACAAAGTGTTTTGCTCTTTCATTCGTCGCCCCAGCCATATAGGCTGTGTATTTTAAACGATTTTAATTGTATATTTGACCGGTTTACCAAAATAACACAGGGCATTGCCGACGGGTTGAAATCGTTGCCCGGGAAAATGTATCCTATCAAATGCGACTTGACAAACGAATCGGACATTCTGAAGGCGTTCGAATGGATCGACACGGAACTGGGTCAAGGTGTGTCTGTATTGATCAACAACGCCGGTACATTGATCAAAAGCAAAATTCTCGGTGAGTTTACTTGACCGTAGACGTTACTCCATTATACTGCTATCATAGCCGGATTGAGAGGGCTCTGACTTCCAGCATAAGTGTGTAATATGGAGAAGCTACAGAATTGGGTAAAATCCTGATCTTTTATTTGTCAACCTTTTACCAATTAAAAAAAAGTGTATTTTTAAGCACTTGGGTATGGGATTGTCAAAATTCGGAACATCCGGATTTCGCCCAATTCTGCAGAGCTATCTATTTATGATTGGTAAATTTGAAAGAGGTGGTGACGGCCCATTGTGCTTTAGCACAGTGTCTCAGTCCGGCCCCGAGTCCAATATTGTTAGATAAATTAATGATACACTTTAGAGACATTGTTCTTAAGCAATACAGCGGTTTGTATTTGTATGATATAGATGGAGATATCGAAGACTGGAAACACATGTACGATCTAAATGTAATAGCGTTAACGGTGTGCTGCAGAGAATGTCACAAGAGTATGACTAAGTACGGCATAACCGACGGACACGTTATAAACATCAACAGGTAATGTATAGAGACATGGTTAAAATATTGAGATTTAGGTTCTTTTTGACCAGGTCCCAACCCCTGATTTAACGTCAGTACGCTTATGGTGTTTTTGCAGCACTGCCGGACATACAATGTTGCCTCTGCCTGGCCACAAGTTGTACAATTCCACCAAAACGGCAGTCACGTATCTGACCGAAGGGTACAGGCACGAGCTAATAGCTGCAGGAGTAAAGACTAAAGTCACTGTAAGTATTCAATCGAAATTCAAACGTTACATGAGGGTTATTTCTCTATCAGTTGGACTCGAGGCGATTATAGGTTCAAAGTCTCCAACTTTGAACATCATTATTACTTAGGTATTTGGACAAATGCTAATCGGTTGTTATTTACAACTATTATTTGAAAACTGTGGACTGAAGAGAAATACATATTATAGTATGTGTCACAATTGTCGAGGCAGGCTTACATGCGCATATTATTATTGTACTCTAGTAGATTGTTTATCCACCTTGTGTACAATTGACAGTCTGAGCATTAAGAGAATTATTTGGAAAAACAAATAAGAGTAAACATTTTAATTTCAACTTTTTTATTTTTTAAGAGTATAAGCCCCGGACGAGTGTGGACAAGTGAAAGCCCCAAGGCGGAACAATTAGTGGCCATGAAACCCGAACGAGTAGCTTCCATGGTTATCGTCGCTTTGACTACTCCATCCGACGTTGTGGTAAGTGTCAATTTATGGTAATCATATGGAGGAAAATGCTTTAAGAGTTATTATAATTATTTCTATGATCACAGGTCAAACAGCGTCCACTCCAAAATTAATTATTTTTCGTTGTAATATCACCATAGTTTATATTTCTAAAAAACAAAAGTTTTAAACCTGTAACAGAAAATGCTAAAATTTGGAATATGCACTATTTGCGACCTGTGACCAAAAATAGGTATCACGGTGGTCGGACAGATTTGTTATATATATATATAAATATACACTTTTTTTTTTTGTCTCCACATACATCAATTGCGTCCCGGGGGGGGGGGGCTGTAGTACATCCTGTGCACTTTTAATAACAGTGCATAAAAAGTCGTGAAGGTTTTAAAAAATATATATTGTAAGTTTAATCATATCAAAATAATAATTACATTGTACAATACTTGTGAATAACTAGAGCCTAAAACGCAAAATTCATACATATATAATATATACATAGGATACCTATTCGAATATGGTATTCACTACCTATAATTTATATAATAATAATAATAATTAATAATAAAAAGTATAATGCAAAAAAAATATTATTTACTGTTATTGAATCACTCGGATTTTTTAAATTATTATTCATTACATTTATATAATAAATTATTTCTAATACTTCTTAAAAACATATTACTTATTCTTGATGATTAAAACTAAACGAAAATTTACAAATTTATAATAATTACTAATTGTTGTTGTTATTTTTTTTTTTTTTTAGATCGCCGAGTTAACTGTGTTGTCCGTTGGCGAGACCCTCCAATCGTATCCTCAGTCACTAATTAAGTGATGTCTTGTTCGGATTATGTAAAACGTTCACTTTGTTATTAACTTTCAATACTTTTGAACTTGAATACCGTATAAATATATTTTTATAATCTATATATAAAGTCTATTGGGGTTATAGTAATCGATCGAATTGTTGACAACTTCTTGTTAATGAACAATAAATAATATAATAACAATATACAAGGTGCTCATTTTTTCAATCTAAAACACAGCTCTTAGTTCTGACTTAAATTTAAGATACAACCCGTATGATATATATGAATTGGTAGTTAGTACGCTATTTAACGTTTTTGAAGTTATATTAGAAGAGCAGGCTAAGTCGGTCATGCACCAGGCTTATGGTAAATGGGAGCCAGCTGGAGTAGTCTCTGGATCAACGTAAGTCGCTGCGGAGAGTCCGGTGCCTGTTCAATTGCGTTGGCGGTGGCGCCCACGTTGCTGTTGTCTGAGGTATTGGCGGTGTCCGCATCGTTGTCGTTGCCGTTGTCCTCGATCACTTGGATGTCGTCGATGTCGAACGTCTGTTTACCGAAATCGTTGGGGTGTCCTGTCTGAAATACAGGCGTATCCGGTTGTGAGGACGGCCGCGGCCGAAGCGTCGACGACACGGCCGGCAAACGGTTCGCCACGCACGGCGAGCCCGACGACAGACCAAACGTCAAACCCGGCGGTGGCCTTGACGAGTCGCTCACTGAAGTCGACGGTTCCGACGCGATGAGCGCCGAAGAACTCGACGGTTCCGAGTTGTCGTCAAACGATGAACTGGGTGGATCCGGGTATTCCGCTGAGTCGAACGAGTCAAACGCATTGGGATATTTATAATCGTCAGAGTCTTGGAACCAAAAACACAACATTATTGACATTAAAGAGCAAATAATATTTTATAAGAATATGCTGTATATTATTAAATATGTTAGATGTGGAAATGAGTGACGGACCTATACAGACATACAGCACAGGCCTAGAGTTTGGATACACATGTTAAAATACATTAAGAATAATCAGAAAATGTATACATCAAAATTATGTAAATAAAGTAAGTCGCTATCGTAAAATAAATGAATGAACTAAAAAAACTACTGTTTTCTCCCTCACGTGTATTTAAATTTTTGGCCTGCGCTCACGCGTACACAATACAATTATTATTAAGATTTTTTAATCCAATTATTTAAAAACATTAATCTAATAATTAAAAAGTCAAAACGTTTCCCTAAGATAATAAATAAATAGTATTTTTAAAACTATTTTGAATGAAACAAAATGTGCCTATTATTAGCAAGTTTACCTTCGGACGGGGCGTTTTTGAACGGAGACGGTCTCAACCGTGGCAGCGGGAACTTAATGTCATCGAACGGCGACGACGGCGGGAACTTTATGTCGTCGAACTGCGGGGCGTCGTCGGCATCGTTGCCACTGATATCCGCATAGTTTTTGTACCTATCGAACAACAGTGGCGAAGTGAACGGCGAAGGTCTCTCAGGGAACGATTCCAGGTCTGTGTCGTCATCGTCAACTTGCTGTTGTTCTGCGTACGGTGGCGAATAGGACGGTGGCGGTGACGGTGGCGACTGGTTGTGCTCGTTATGTTCTTCTTCACCGGCATCGGACACCGATTCTGTTCCAGATGACGGTGGAATAAACCGGACTGACGCACGAAAGCCGTTTTCCGCATCGGCCGTGTATAGCACGTTTCTAAGTACGCCGTCCGGTTCCATCACAGAGTACTCGCCTTTAACCACGGAACCGTCGCGAGTTTCCGAGTGGCTTTGTACGTTACCCGTGTTCGGGTCGTCCACGCCGTAGGCAAACGAATACAATGGTCTGGCCTGCGCGACAAATAATGTACAGAACATATGCTTTAAACCGATAAGTCAGACGCGTTCTACAAATATGCAATTACAATTAAGTGAATTAGCAATACTAAAACGCCTATTACTTATTGGTTTAATTAAAGGCAATACCACAAGGAGAAATAACGTTGAGTCTATTTATTTTTTAAATAAACAAACAAGGTTTTAGTGAGTTTAGACAGGAGGTCAAAACAATTTTACCTATATTATGATTTATGTCATTTGTAACCTAAACACAATTTCATTAATGTTGTAAAATATTATGTAAATGACCTGTATTCGATTTAATCAAACGTATAGAATTTCACTTTTTTTTAAAAATTGATTTAAAAGTAAATTTCATGGTATATTATTTAAATATATATTATCTACGGCTCTATAACACAGTCTTTTGTTAATAAATAATTATGTTTAAAACGTTTTATTAAAAAATTACTACGATTATTTAATAATTTAAAATATTGTACTTATGTCTAAACTACATGGTGTCCGTATATTTTCTTATATGAAGGTGAAGTAAAACAGTGTAATTTATTTGATGTGTATAAATAGTAAGCGTTTTTCGAATCTCAGTTTACATTTGTTATTATATTATAATTTATAAACAATAAATATTATCAATTGACTGTTCTGTTGGAGCCGGAATTAAAAAATCTCGAATATCAAAAATAAAAAGTAGATAATTTATACTATAAGTTTATAAACATTTTAAATAATTTAATTATAGATTATTGAATGGGTATTTAGTTTATAACAACTTAAATGAAAGGATAAATTCCGTGGTGTTGCCTTTTGGGGTAGAATAGAGGAAATTTTAATTTCACACATTTCAAGTAAGATTTGTTAGTTTTTTAAAAAAAATAATAGTTAATTGTTCATCAATCCTAAAGCGTCTTTAAATACAATTAATTGCGTTAAGTATCTCTTACGACGTAGTCTTTGGGAGCTTCGGGATTGCGGGTAGTCTGTTCTTCTTGCGGCTGATCGCTTTGGAGCTGAGTGTGCAACGGTTGGAATGGGTCTATTTCATGCACTTCGCCGGACACAGGACCCGTGAACGTACTCCAAGCGTACGAAGCGGGCAAGACGTCCGCGGCGTACGATCTAATGGAAATGCAACATAGCGCCGCTATCTAAAACGGACAGCATTACAATTTACACGTACAAACAAATAAACATGAACTGTATAATGTATGTAAGAATCAAAAGTCAAACTCGTTCACTCACGTGCGGGACGACGATCATTTTCTGAATGTATTATTAATTGCAGCACCGATTCATCAGTGCGGGATGATCTTAACGAAGCAACCGAAATCATAATAAACGGCACTAAAATTGTTCCAATCGTCTGGGATGTCGGCCTCCCACCAGGTTGCACGCAGACGGTTGAACAAAAAAAATTATTGATCTAAATAAATCATAAGCCGGCACCACAGACGAACGGGTTTCGTCGTTCGGCATAGAAACAGTTTAACTACCCGCGGCAAACAAATCATATTTCGGCGGACGGTCTTACGCAGATGATCCGGCCGAATAAACATTTGTTCGGTGAATCATAATGCATTTATGCAATCTGTTATGAAGATTTAAATTATAATTTAGAACAAAAACAACAGTGTGTTTAATTTTGTTTTCTCGGAATAGCTTCCGGATGATGTATAACCCTTTTGCACTTCAGTGACACAATCATGTAAAGAGGGGTTAAATATCGAATTCACCCCTTACGTTTTGCGCATGTAGGTGCGTAATCAAATCAAAACTGTGACGTGAAAATGTCAACAAAATGCAAAAATATACCCACAAAAGCATCATTGTTGTGATAGATGGTTTTAGCGAGGATCAAAAAAATGTCTACCGAATAATTAATATACAGAATATGATAACTAAAGATTGCACGTAACACATGTTATGTAATTTGTATTATTGTATGTTTCCCTTGTTAATGCTTTATGGGCCAAAAAAGTATAAAAAAACAATAAAAAATTGTTGTAATTACAAAACAAAATACATGTAAGACGTAAAACAAACAACAGCGTAAATTTAATAAAAAATGTTCTTAACAATAACAAATAAATTAAGCCATATATATTATACGGTACAATATACAAATTGTAGTACATAGTAATAATAGTACTCTGCATGTTTCCTATCACAAAGTATCCTCGAAAAACACAAAAAAAACCTTTATAAAATATAAGAAATATTTTTTTAAAAAAAACCGTTTTATCTACACCAATTGCATTACTATTCTAATCACGGTCATCTAATTCGCGACCGTGTGTAACGCGTTTGTACTTTGTATAGACTATATGTAGACATTAAGTGGCATTGATAATAATTATTCAATGATATTTTTGGTTTTTTTATAATCAAATATTTATTATTTTATAACAGTTGTACAACGTTGACCTAAAACTACCAAATTCCTGCTTCTCAAAATTATATTTACAATGCTCTAAGCGTTCGACAATTTGTAAAAAAAATAATTACATTAGACATGAATTTATGCAATCTATATTGTATTGAGTTAATACCCAATATTCACAATTCGTATGACTCGAGGTTACTAACATATAAAATATATATAATGATCGTATAAATAATATATTCGGTGGTGTCTTACAGCTTACTACTAGATCAGTCAACCTATATATTTTGTATGAGATATGTCTTAAGCTATGTATGTATCTAATTATTGAAAGGAGTTCGATTTATTACTTCATTAATTTATATTATAATTTCCCTAATAAGTTAAGTGTATAAAACAATTATTATTTTAATTTCTATATGAACAAAATGAATGAAAACACGTAAATATCGATTAATTACAGCCTGAACGTATTGCTCTGTAAAACAATGATTTGTCATTCAAACTTTGTCGAAAATAATTAATAGTTTAAAATGATTTTCAATTATTGAAGATTTTTACACAAAATTTACAAAAAGGAAATAAAAATGCCGGAAAAAAAAATTTACATTTTTTTAAATATTAGTAATATATGTATATTTTACTATTTTGTTGTACGTGCAAGACAGTTATACGCTTAAAAATATGTCGATCTTTTACTTCACAAAATATTGTATTATAAAATATTATACAAGACAAATATAACGATAATTTTTTATTTTGCAAATAATCAGTTATTATCTATTTTTATAGGCATAAAAATATGGTTCGTTTAACTTCATTTCATAACTCAACCAGATAGAGCTCTCTCATAATTGAATTTTTAAACGTACGCTGGTACGGAATTCAAGCAATTTGATATTAAGAAATAATTGTACTCCTGCTAGATTTCTCCAACGTTGGCTATTAGTTAATACGTATAGATTTTCCCTTTTTAAACATTTACTATAATACATGCATGAAAAATTACATTTTATGGAATTAAATAAAGGCTATACGCCGTTTACAACATAACTATAATATATTAAGGAGTTTCGCTGTAGTATAATTGCATAATTTTAATAATGTAATTCAATTATGATTTCGCTTAAATTAGGAGTTGATTTTACAACATGTATTTTATTTGTGGATTCTATTCGTTAGTGATTAATCAGGTATTATATTGATCTCCATCAATTATATGGCCATTGATCATCGTTTATCACGCAGTTAAAGTGTCTTTTAACGAAAACCGCTACCGTGACAGTTACTCTTTACGATTGTTGCTTCTCTTGAACCCCTGCCCTGGTACGTTTTACTTATTTGTTTTTTTGTGCGGACCTACGAAACTGAAACCTTCATATTATATTGTATACAGATAATCGAATGAACTTAAATAGGTCAAGAGTAAAAAAAAGTCCATCTTTATGCAGAAATATAGTCCTTAATCAGCTGTTAAGCTTTAAAAACATAATGTGCGTATTGTTTAACACTGATTTATAATATAAAACATATTATGTTTTTCTCACGCTCTAGTGGCTATTTAGTTTGTTATGGGTAGGCATAGGTACAATGTCGGGTTCTTTTAACATGTTTTTTTCCCTCTTGACCGCCGTTTACAGCCAATAAAATATGCACACGTCTTGGGATTTCTCTCCTTCGGGCACAGCGCACGGGGATTGCAAGTCTCATTGACAATTGGTCACAGACGGACGTGACCAAGGTCGCGTGTTGCAGCCGCTGTACGCGTCCGTTGCATATTGTTTAATTTCTTTGAACCTGCGATCGTTTCACACAGATTATGATCGACCGAGGCGAACACACACGCGCCCCCAAGTCGCACACCAATCAATCATGGCTAATAACCCGACACGTTTCGACGTATTCCGATACAGGTAACCGATCGCGAGTGCGCGGCTAACATATTATTATAATATACATAGTTACTGTAATAGTGTTAGTGTCGTTTTAAATTATATTTTACTCGTTTCTACTTTCGGCTGAAGTTCGAATTTCTTACCGTCCGGGACGACCGACTGACCGACCGCCGCCGATAAACCGGTAAAAACCGTTAAAACCCGTTCGCGTGCCGCCAAAGTGTGCGAAATATTGTAAATTACAGTATTCGAATATATTTAGAATAAATTGATGTTGGTGTACATAAACTAAAATATAGATACATAATAATAACGTTTAAAATACAGTAGTGTGACAATCGCAACCGCAGCCGCAGAGTCGCCTCAGCCGTGTTGTATTATAATATATTGTTATAATATTATACGCTGTGAAAATGAAGGTTTCACGCATCGTCAACATCATTCGAGTGAGAACTATATCGCAATGTTACCTATAATAATAATAATGATAAACATAATATGAAACTATACAATATTTTTTATGATATTAGGTATATAGATTTATCCGTCCCGAGTTTTTTTCATTAAACCCGCGACGTTAAATGCAATAATAAAAATACTAACACAAGGCGATCATGTAATCGTCTCGCGTTATTTTTGATTACTCGACAAACGATTGGCGTATTGTCAGCTGTCTAATACACGACTTATGTTGTGTATTTTTTCTCTTTTTTTCCCCATCTTAATTTTTGGCTTTGTGTTTTTAGGTCAGCGCGGTTATGTCGCTGTTGCCGGCCACCGGTCTGACCGCGGACACCAAGTCTTCGGTCGAAGTCGTTAGCAACCAAGAAAAAAGACAAATAGAAAACGAATGGGGATCGACGTCGAAAAAAGACCACAAGGTAAGCGGTCGCACATGCGTGTGTTATTAGATAATGTCGCGTTATACTTCCTGATTGTGATTGAAAAACCGAAATTAAACCGCTATTGCTGTAGCTGTACTCTGAAACTTTAAAATATTTTTCACTTGATTCCAGGGACCGAACACTTACGAGTTTAGATACGACGTGGAAAACGCGCCGTCCAACAATATCCAATACCGCATGGAAGAGCGACACCCAAACGGAAGCGTAGTGGGCAGTTACGCACAAGTGCAGCCGGATGGCAACGTAAGGGTAGTGTCGTACGTCGCAGACAACGATGGCGTCAAGTGAGTACATATTATTGTTGATGAGGTGGCACAGAAGAAGCCGAGCTCCGGCGAACTGGGCGATAGACAATTAATACCCGCCCAGGCTGCTACCAGTTTCAATTTATAGTGCATGTGTCTTTATTATACTCGTGGGCCGATTGTATGATAAATAAAATAAGTGTTTTTCTTAATGATTGTACTTTTTGGGCATTGGCAGAAATTTAGGTAGTTTTTTTTGAAAATTTAGATGTACATTGTAGGTTTAAATTACGAATATTAAATTGAACAATATTCAGCAAATCTCTCGCTGAAAAACTGCACTATAAGTTTGAGTTTTAACTTCTAGGGTTATTAGTACCCAATGCTCCTAATTTTCCACTAATGTCTCATGTCTGTGGACCACCTTTAAATTTGCCTATTAGGCCGGGCCTCTTCAACGATGCGCAATACACATAATATTTGTTTTACTTTCATTCGAATCATTTGACGGTTATGCTATAATAGTAAACCAAACAATTTTCTTTGCAATTTTCCTATTCGACGCGACGGTACGCTACATAATATTAAATAGGTGTACGTTGATATCAGCCGAACACTTAACTGAATCATTTTCACCGATAATACTCGTATTCACAGTATTATAGTTATTATTATGTCAATGCTCGTATAACTGTCCATCACAACCGAAACGCGAGTGTTTTTTTTCTCAAATAACAACAATAGTTGTTGTGTTAAAAACACTTATAGATTCGTAACTAAAAAAATTGAACGCGACATTTTTTTTTAAATACAAAGAACGTTACAGTTCTGCACGAGAAAATCAAATAAAGTTACCTATTGATATCAGATTTGTACGATATCTAGCTATTATAGCGTAGGCACGTCTAAATAAATATTAACTATTTTAATTTTTGTTCAGTAGGCTTGTTTTTTATTAGTTGAACCACTTTATTTTTAGAACAGTGTTTAGATGGGCGACACAGTACCAAAGACCAAAGTACTTGGTTCATGGTAATAATTATCAAAACTTGTTGAATTCATCCAAATTTATTAATCTACAAGGTACCCGTAACGTAAAACCTATAATTGATTACTTATATTTACGTGTTGTACGTACTTACGTCTAATGTATATACCGTTTTCCAAACCTCTTAATGATTTTTAGGTTAATCCTAAATCTAAGCTTTCCCTATGATTTGTTGGTCTTAAGAATCCTTATTTTGATAGGGACAAATCCTGAATTTCAAGCCCATGCTATGCTTAAATTAGAGGTTTCCTGGGTAATATTTTATTGAAAATGACTGATATTTGGAAGTATAATATGACCTGATGAAACAAAAACAAATATATCAATATTAAAAAATATTGATTAATATAAATTTTAAAACATAAATATTTTGTCATCGGCAGGACTTACGTTAAGAACAACGGAGCAACTCCTGGCAACGGAGATCAGTACGTGGCAGAAGGATCTAGTCTGGATCCGGTACAACGGGTATCCTCGCAAATCCTGCAAACGGGATTGCAGTCACAGCAGCAACACAAATCTCCACTTTTCGACAAGTACCATAGACCGACGCCATCTAGCTCAAGTCGTGTGGACAACGCGCATGTGTATCATCAACAACGAACCAACATCGATCCATCGTCTTTCCGACCAGAGGATTCGCAAGGCTACCAGGAAACCCATCAGCCGTTCGTTGGCGACCATCTTAAAGACAAGCTACATTCTTCGTACGCCGAGTACCGCGTGCCGACCGCGACGGCCAGTCCCGGGCAATTTGTACAAGGCACGCCTCTGACGGTACTGCCATACAACCTGCAAGGCCCTACAGCCTCGCCCGTACAGCCTACCCATCCGCCATCTCATTACGTTCTCAACGTGCCTCCGTTACCGTCCTTGGGGGACAATTCGCCACTGCCATTGTTGCCCGGCCAACAACCGTTACCCATCACACCGGACAGAGGCCCCATAATGATCCAACTTCAGCAGCCGCCGCCGCCCGGCCCGACCCCACAGGCCAACTACCAGTATCAGCCCACGCAGTTATACCAACAGCAGGCGAGGGTGTCGCCACAGCTACAGCAACAGCTCATTCAACAACAATACCAACAGCAACCGGTGAGGGTGCAGCCACCCGCGCATTTGGTCCCTCAGCAGCAGCAGCAAACGCGTTTGGCGTCGTCACAGCTACCTCAGCAGCAGCAACAACAAACGCGTTTGGCGGCGTCACAGCTACAGCAGCAACCGCAGCAGCAGTCCGTCAGGATATTGTCGCCGACGCCGCAACAGCAGCAGCAGCAGCAACAACAAGCTAGGTTGGCCGCACAACAGGTTGTACCACAACAAGTGCATCCGATACAGTACCAGCCGCTGCCCAACGCCGTGTACCAGCATCCACCTCAGCTCCTTAATACTCAACAGCAACAACAACAACATGCGGTCCACATACCACAGCAGCAACAACAACAGTATCGAGGGCAGCAGTCCACGCCGCTGCAGTACTTCCATCAACCCAATCCGGCTACTACGGTGGAACAATACAGACAACAGTTGCAACTTCAAGCCGCCGAGTCGGAAGCGCATCCCGTGTTCGTGTTGCCGCCTGATGATAGACTTTTCGATTTTGCCGGAAAAACGTTCCATCTTAAGGTTTAATATTTTTAATTGTAATGTTTTTTGTATGGTCATTATGTTGAATAAAGTTATGTTTTTTTATTGTTTTAATACTACACAGTACGGACCCTTTCATTGTTCGCGCCCTTTATTTACATTGCATGGCTCCACGGTGACTACATCACTACTACCTAAAAATGTTTTCCTAAAACCACTCAAGGCCGTGCTCAATCAAGCCTAGTTAAATGTATCTCGTTTTTGCACAACTATATACGTACCGTAAACACACACATAGGCTACGTGTAGTGCTCCGGTATATTGTCGCGATTCGGCATGGCACGCCCCGAATGATCTGTTCACACTTAACGAGTTTCGACATTTCGCCAGGTAGTTTAGACGTCGAACTTGTCATGCTGAATTTATACTAGTCCACAGTTTGGAAATACACACACGTGCTGGTGTGTTTGAATTTTAACATTAAATCTGTCGCCGTAACGTCCGTTATTCGCTTATTTCCGCTTTACCGCAACGATGTTCAAAACAGAACGCAACATAAACTGTTTATATGGTGTCAGAAAGTATATTTCGGAGTATCAAATGTTTCGTCATACTTTGTATACCAAACGTGGACTAAGAAGGCAAACTAATTATAATATTTATTTTAAGTGATTAACGGTTTAATTTTACTATATTACTATATATTATACCCTACTAAACTATAAATAGTTACTGAATATCGACGATGAAGTCTCTGTAATATAGAATCTATGATCGCCTAGGGAATGACCACTTAGGCCATATTAAGGTGTATAGACTTTTTGATGACCTTGGACTTGACATTTATTCACAGACTGTAAATAAATAAATATGCCCTGTAATACTATTTGAGCTCTTGTCAGTAATGATCAAAGTTGGGTATGCAACATTAGTATGGTAACCTACTACTTCGATGGGCCTTGGGTCGTTGCTACCTTAATTTATCCAGTTCTGATCCAAAATTATATTACAATACATTTCGTCAGAACATTTTAAGTCGATAAGAGGCGTAAAGTGAAAATGTTTACAACGTAATCTTTACTTTATTTTAGACATAAAAAACTATAACACCAAACAAATTATTTTTACTCACTATCCAAAGTTCAAACTGGTAAAGACAAAAATGCGTGTTATTCCTCACACAGACAGTGGGTATCAAATACAAAAGTACCTTATGCAATTTTACACTTACGAGCTTTGGCTTGGTATTAGTTTTATCAAAAAAAGTCAATGTCTTTAAAACAGAAATTAATATATGATTTATGGATTTAATACAATAAGACAATTTAATCAGATAAGACGATGCGAGAGTATAAAAGGGAGAAAGACAATATTTGGTAAATTGACAGCTAAAAGTATGAGTTACTTCTCACGTTTGTTATTGCATAAAAAAAAGGCAATTCCACAACAAAAATTAAAAACTTATAAGCTGTTTAAAAAATTTAATACAAAGCATTAAGGAAAATAAAATCGGTGAAGCTCATTTTCCAAAGAAGTGCCTTGGAATTACTCCATTTTACCGGTCTACCGTTCAAAAATCATATTTTTTTCAATGTTATTATCACACTGCTCACTCTAATATAATAACTTCAACTAACTACAATAGTTATTTGTCATTAATGACCGAGCGTATTACACGTTTGAAGTATTGTATTCCACACAATAAGCACATATACTATGATAATCAAAATGTACATTTATTTGGAAAGTACAAATTTAGTATAAAATCTATAATTTAGGAGATATAATATGTTCTACTCGAAAGACCTATCAGACTAACGCATGTGTAATAATTTGTATATTATGTCTACGCGTAGTTTAAATTATTGTTTGAGGTTGAATGATTCTGCGTATAAGGGAATATGTGTAATAGGTGTACAGCCACTTTTTACACTCAGAGAACAGATATTTTTTCATTATTATTATGATTCCATTAGTTTTCTTTACTATCTAAACGATATTCTATACAAAAAACAAGAAAATAACAATGCTCTTTAAAAGAAGAAAAAAAAAATAGGGCAATCAATTTTAACTCATGGTCATTGCTGTTGCAACATTCAATTCTACAGCTTCAAAAATGTAGTACTTAATAAAAACACGCTGTATAATTGTAATGTTAATAATTATAAATAGTATATAAGATGTTTGTTATTGCTGTTCTGATAAATTCACATACAACTCAATGTAAATTTAATAAAAATAACTTAGAACACTTGCACTATGCAATTCAAAAAATTGTGATTATTACGAGCTAATACATATTTGTATACAATAAGTGGAAAATATATGGTAAATAAGGCCTTATCGCTTGAAATTGCTTCTTAACCCTTAGCCGGAAATTAGTTTAGTTTAGTCAAATTTAAATATTTAAATCTCAAATTATGTTTACAACGAAGTTAACCTTCAAATTTGTTAAATTTGGTTATCAATTTGGTACATTATATATCGTGATTGAAATACTCAAGTATTTTTTTTCCTGGGTGAATGTAGGTGTTTGATTTTTCCATGGTATATTTGCTATGATTTTGAAGACCGTGTTACGATTGGAGTTTTACAATGATTACGTAATGGGAGTTCTTCTTTTTAAGCAAAATTAAGAATTGGATAACGTTGTGTGAAATTTTTATACCTAAATTTGGTATTAATTTGTGTGCGAAATAATTTATACATTTCATACACATTAAATTGTGTTAATTTTATTCAAGTAATTTTACTCTAGTTTGGTTTTACATTTTTACCATTAAAAATAATTCGGATCGGTAATGCCTAATTGAAAATTATCTTCAAAATCGGAAGCTATATGGTTAAAATTAAACCAAACCTAGGAGAATTCGATGTTGGCAGTTGCAAAAAGTGCTATTGTTGATTTTGTTAATAAGAATATTGATTTTGATGTCGATCGAGCATGTTATAATATTATTTAAAAGCCACCGATCGCGATGGAAAAATATATGAATACGGTAAATCGTCCGGTCGACTCGCCCCCAATAACCCCAAGGTGTCTTAGCGTTTTCCACAATAAAACATCCTACACAAAACGGTTTCGTCACGGAGAAAAAGAAAACAACATAATATAATATAATATAATATAATACAAAATATATATAGTAATACAAGTGTGCGTTTTTCGTTGTGCGGCCGAGCCTATAGCGGTTACGCAATGTTTGCGTTTGCAACACGCCACCCGTGTGTACATGTGCGTATATGTGAACATGGGGGAAAAAAAATAAAGGAAAAAGAAGTGGAGGACCTGTGGAATTTGTATGGAACAATATATATACCGTTGACCGCGGACAGCGTTAGACACTCGATAACCGCCATCGAACCAGAACACACCAAGTGTATCGTCTAAGTATATTTTGGGTTTTTGTTATTCAGTAGCACCACTTGAAAATGTTGTCTAAGGTAAAAAGACGCCGAGACCGTCGATATTGTATATATATATATTTTTTTTTTCGTTTTCGTGCGACAAGTAACACTGTTTTGGTTTTCCCCCATTTAAAGGTGATCATCGGTTCTTGCGTGCTGTTGTACGTCACCCTGCAAGTCGTCCAGTGTTACCCACAAGGATACGGACATCACGACGAAGACGAACATGTGGATTACTACGTAAGCACACAATGCTGTCTATAAATATATATTTTAACCATACCCGTCAATTTCAATAACTGTGTACACACGACTGTAGTTGTCCGTGTAACAGAAGTAGATACACGAAATATTCTAAATATGTTCATCCCAAATGTGTGGTTAATAAATTTGTTTTTTCTTGTCGCCATGGCGATTTTTTTTTTTTTTTTATATGTTTTAGGCTCATCCCAAGTACTCGTACAAATACGGAGTGCAAGACCCGCACACGGGCGACTACAAAACTGCCCACGAGTACAGAGACGGAGACGTCGTCAAAGGTTCGTACTCAGTACATGACCCCGACGGCACCTTGAGAACCGTTGAATACACCGCCGACAAAGAGAACGGTTTCAACGCCGTCGTGCACAAGACCGGCCACTCCAACCATCCCGATCACTATGAACATTACTGATCGAAGGTATATATATATATATATAAATAGTGTTTAGATCACAAGATATTAAGTTTATTAAAAAAAGTTAAATTACTTCGTTTTTTTTTTAATTTTTCTTTGAACATACCTTTTGTTAGGAAGTTCGTAAATTCGATTTGTTGTTTTTAAAATCTGTCTTTACAGACATACACACATATACAATGGGGTTTCCTATGTTTTTTCACTAAAATTGAGTAGTTACAAAGCATTATGTTATTTCTGTTACGATAATAGAATTTAAAAAAAATTGTCGGTATTGTAATTTGTGATTTTTTACGATAGTTCCAAATTTGTTATATTGAACTAAAAAATAATCTATACTAGTTATATATAATATCATTTTCTATATAATCCAAAACACTAGAACTTTACGACTAGGTACTAGCAACAAATTGGACGGTTGAACACCCAATCTGCCAATTTTCTCCTATACAATGACACGAAAATATAAACTACATCGGATTACATAATACATTATAGATCTCTATAATAAAAAAGATGATTCCAGAGTTTATCATTTTTCCGTTCAGGCCAGTTGAAAAAGCTAAATTATAATAATTAAGGAAAAACACACGATTTGTATAAAGTACGTTGTACCTTTTTTTTTTTGGTACAATAAGTAAGATTACATTTTTAGTAGTTATATTGGAAAATATGATTTTTATCATTTTATATTTATCATATACGAGTTAATAGGAAAAATGTCATATTGCATTATTTCTAGGAAATTAGCTATTAGATTTATAATAATGTGTGTTTATGACACAATAGCTCGAAAGTGAAAGAATATTACATAGGTAGGCAAAGCAATAAAGGTATGACTGTGTGTGCTTAAATTGCCTATACATATCGCCGGTAGAGTAGAATATGGAATTTAAGAAATTAAAGAATTTAGGAGGGGAGATTTTATCTATTATCACTTTATTCAAATTTATTCTTTATAAAAAAAAACTAAATAAATACGTTATAATTTACTTAAATGCCAAATTTTTCATCTAATACGAGTATTATTGATTGATCAATTATTGAGTAACTATTAATGTATGTTACAACTAGCAAAAAACAATTTATCATTCTTTCTTTTGTTTTCCTCGTAAATTTTTTATTAGACACGTTCAATTTAAATCATGTTAAAATATTTTTCCAAACGGTTTTTAATGTTTTATTAGTTTATAAAATGTATAACTTTTATGTAATGCTAATATTATAACGTAAGCTAATAAAAACTAAGATTTAAAAAAAATGTAATTGTTCGATTAAATGATTATTTAATTTGAATAACTATTTTTAATAATATAAAAATTATAATAATTGAACTGATGAGAAGCAAAAGGGACAAGGGCATAATAGTGATAATAAAAAAAACTATATTTCAATCATACATTATTTGTCATTTATACCTTTGTTACCTATACTTGTTTTACAATTTTTCTTCAAATAATTTTTGTTAGAAATATTGATAAAAACTAATGAACATCATCTAAAAACACAATTTTTATTTTGCTCCGTTTCTGTAGTATTCAAATGACAACGTGTCCAAGTTTATTGAACAGGATTATACAACCACGAGAGTAAAAACAATATTAGTTTTCATAATTAATAAAACATTACGACAACCAGTAGCGATAAGAATCTAATAAAATAATTATAATCTACAGATTTCAATGTTGAGATAATTGAAATTAAATAGAGACATTTTTTTACAACGTATATTAAATATGTTATAAAATATAATACTCACATTTTTTAATAAATTATTTTTATTTTGTTTGTATTACATATGTAGTTTAAATATAAAATTGTTTATTTTCTAGGGAATGTATTTAAATAGCAAAGTGAATTTGCTAATCGAATAATACAGTCTACGGAGGCCAAACTAATATCTATTTTAAAAGGACACGGAAGAGCTGAAATACCAATCTAGTCCTTATATTACCTTGTTTAACATATTCTTATATTATATTTTAAACTTATTATGTTGTATCTACAATTTATGCTACTATTTTATATATCAAATAATATATCTTATGTATCATAAGATTTTGCGTATTATATTACATTATGCATATAATATTATATTGCGTTACATTATAATAACATATAAGTACTAAACATGTTTTGATGTAGAGAAATGTTGTGGTTTATTTGGTTTGTTCTTATAAAAGTCTTGTTATAATATGTATATTACCATAAATATATGACGTTTATTTTTCTATATATATTTTTTTTATCCTGAGGAATTCATGTGTGACCGGTCGCTTTGACAACTTGTTACGTTAAGAAAATTACTATTGTTACACAAGAAATAAATAATTACCAGAAATATGCGGCTATAGCCAATTGAGTCTTCACGCATGAAAGATAAATCGAAGATAACTTCTAGTAACTAAATAAACGTTACGCCATAGGCACAAGTTATTTTCCAAATATTAAAAAAACATAGATAATAAAAAATATGAATACACCAAAAATAATATTTTAACAATATAAATGATTACATTTCCTTTATTTAAGTTCTTATATATTCTCAATATGCAAATGTACAATGGTAAAATTATAAACAATTTAATAATATTTTAGCAATCAATATAACATACTGTGCCAGGGTAAGATTTTCTTTAAGTTAGAGTATTGATATAAAAAAAAAAAATGATTATTTTAATTATTACTGATTGTGTAAATGGTACAATAACAAAAATACAATAAATTAAAAAAATTTAATTGTGGTTCAATTATTTTTCAATGAAACTTAACTGTAATAAAGATATATATATATATATATATTTATTTAAGTAAAAGTTTAGGTAAAAGTTAATCTAATTATAATAAAATATTTCCGAAGAATGTCTTATAATCAATTTACTTGTTTTATATAACTAGTAAAAAAAACTACGTATTGTTAGATGAATGTGTGGGACGTCACGCCTGATTTCCATAGAAAAATTGTTTTGTCATTAATCATAACAATAAGAAAATTTGTATGGTATAAAATAAGTTACTATATTTTTAGCTTTTATGGGGAGCTGAGAACGTATTGTTTGTACAATGGTGTTTTTTTTGTGTCTAGAAACACGATATCTATTAAACCGTTGTACCAATTTCTTCGCGTAGCAACTCAATATAAATAGTTATTTGTTAAAAGGGACTTATTTGCATTTTTAAAAACTTTTCAGAAGATACAAAAAACTGTTTTACTCTTAATTGGTTTTTGTTCATCATAATTTCATTTAATACCATTACTGGAAATTAATTAAAAACAAAAAATTTGTCTTATATATAACCAAAAATACTCATTGACATAGACGGATAGACCCTGTTTAACATATTTTAACACAGCATGATCACCAAGTGTATGTTAAATATAAACATAGGTACCTTTTGTCATATGATTTTTTTTCATAATTATTTTATACGATCACAAATGGTACAACGAAAGGTAATTTCAACACGAAACGACGTGTTTACATAGGAAGATAAATACTTTACCATTTAATATTTTGCTAAATTATGTAACTTAAGTCACTTTTAAATAAATACATATTTTTATTAGAAATCGTACCTTAAAGGTACTTTATTATGCCGAAATTTTAAAAGGTTAACCTCTTCTCCTTCGAGAATCGAGATACACACCCAAAAAATATACATATTTTTTCAACTTAAAATTACGGCACGTTGTAACTTTTTTTAAAGAAGTCCAACTAGTTCTATATTTGTATGGAATATTCTTTAGACATAATATTATCAATATACGTTGACAAACCAAACAAATATTTAAACCCCTGTTCCACAGAAATGGTAGAACTTTTTCTACATATCGTTTTTATATGTGTAGTTTTAGGGCTTAAGGTCTGAAAACTTGAGTAAAGTTACATTTTGAAAGACTTTAGAAAGATTAAGGAAAATAAAAAAAAGGGAGAAATTACACTTTGACTGTAATAAATTTCTAGATTGCAAGGTGAGAGTGAATCAGACGTCTGGGAAACAAATTCATTTTGTTGTTACTTGTTAATTGTTATGATGTATGGGATACAACGGTAACAAATTATTATAAACAAACGGTCAACCTTAATCGTACTTGTCCTAATATAAAAAATACAATTTAAAGCTTATTATTGTCATTACAATGCTTTTATAGATATTTGTATTTGTACCATGAACCATCTACAGATTTACATTGAAGAGTATATTTGAAAGTGATTTTATGTCTTTCAGTAATAATAATTCTTGTAGACTTGTGACCTCCTCCTGTCCAATATACTCCGTCACTACTATGCCCCAACCCCATTGTACTGGCTTTTTTATTAACATGATACATAAACAAGTATAAATTGGCTTGAGAGAATTTTTTTCATGTTATAACGTGGTAAGGCTTTACATTATTTAGCTAGTGTATACATTTTAAATAAGTCCATTATAACCTATTCTTTGGATCTAAACCGACATATTTATGTATTACAGTCTAGACTCTAGACTATATAATATAATAAATACATTATTTTTTCAATAAGATATAATGCTTATGAAAAGTTATGCATCTATTTTTTAGTATATTAACATAAATACATAAAATGTGTTTTATTCTGTTCATAATAAGACGACTATTTAGAGAAATGGCATATCCATTTTTCAAAATATAATATAATATGAAAAGTTAAATAAACTATTTTCCCTCCAAATAGTCATCTGCTTACAATTCAAACTAGTTAATTTTGTTTAAAACCCATTTACAGACCAAGTAAAAAGCATTTCGTGTTGCTATGTTTAAGGTGGGAAAAAAGTATTTTACTATCAAGGACGCTGTTGAAGTCTGATAATTACTTTAAGTATGCCATTTGTAGTAAAAAATTGAAACTACTGAAATTATAAATAAACAAATGAATTTTAATATAAATAATTTAAATTTTAATATAAATTTAAAGACTAATTTTAACTCCTTCGAAGCAACATTGTCTTCATCATGTCATAAAATTGCTAATGCTGCTAATATTTCTAGATTTCTAATTAAACTCTAGTTATTTTTATATTAATATTATTCTTGAAATAGCCAACGTGAATTAACTATTTATTCAACCAATAGATTGCGCTTCATCAATCACAATGAAAATACTCAGTACACGTTAATAATATTATGTTTGGACATTGGTTACCCCAATGTATTTGCCATTTGGTGGCTTGTGGTTTTTATCTACACTAATATCGGTAGTTTAAAAATGTTAAGTGATACAAACAGTTCCAATCAATTTTGTATAATACCTAAATATTAAACATTTTTATGTAAACAGTTGAGCTCATACTTAAGGTTACGTATGTATATCTTTTTCTATTTTTTTAATTATCAACACCCCTTGCTTTCACCATAACTCGGAGAAAATAACTTTAAAAGTATTTAATTAGAATAACTTAATATTTTTTCGTCTTAAAATTAGTCGGCATATTAAAAATGGCTACTTGATCAATGTTTGTCAAATATTGCCTATTCTATGCCCCTTGGTAAATAGCGCTTTCCGTTCCCCCTTATATGAATTATCTAATTTTTAGTAACAATAATTATAAAATAATAGATAATTAATATAATTTTAATTCGGGCACGGGTCAGTTATTTGTATTGATAATACTATGAGATAAAATTCGTTCCAGCCATCAATAGTAGAGTTTGTAATAAAACTTAAATAGTTTAAATACTTGGTATTAATGAAAAATCCTTTAGGAATGCATTGACTTATCCATTTTTCCACTGAAGGTTTATCCTTGTGCGTATATCGGTATATCTAAAAGATTATACAATTTGTTATTATACTGCATACAATTGTACAATAGCTCTTACACCCAATGCAAATTATGTCATATTTTGCTTAGTCATCTAGCCATAACTTATGAAAATCGATTAATCCAATTCTTAGAAGTTAATATATCAATTGTTAGTTTTATATTGAAGTTCTCCAAAAACATAAGCAAAATCACTAGGTTAAATTTGTATTTATTTTTCTATATGGAATGTATTAAAAAACGGGAAAATGAATCTAGTTTGTATACAGACAAATACATTATCGTACATAATAATAATAATACATTATCCTAAAATATTCCTACTTATCGGTGGTAGGTGTTTTATTGTCTTTATTTATAATGATATCGTTCATGAATTAAAAATAATACATATATATTTTATATTTTTAAAAAAATCATGGTAATAAGGCTATCGATGTGAAATAGAGACCGTAAATTCATTCTGCTGCCACCATGTAGTATACTTTAAATATTTCAATACAATGATATTCAAGTATACTTCATGCTTGATTCAGTGTCTGTATTTTACACCATATTAATTTACCGACAAAAAATATATGCATGCACAAAAAATCAAAATTAAAAAATTGAAATATGTGAAAAACTTTAGCGACTGACGATATACATACACAATTATTCAAATAACATATTATATTGTGTGATATGTTAACATATATTTTAACCTTCAGCAAGGTACTTTTTTGACAAATGTTCATTTAAAAAATTTAAAAACCTAAATCTTTTAAAATGTATGAATTTATTTGTAAGAAAATTGCCTATCTCAACCCCTTAACGTAAATAATATACATTTTTTTTAAATACATTTTAATTTTAAACAAGTTTCAATTTTATTTGTTTTTATTTTTAACTTCGATGAAAAGGTATTGGCTTAAAATAATTGTTCTTTGTGTGAACTTGAATCAAAAATAACTTATTAACCACTGGGTCGATTTCTTCATGTGCCAATTAACAAAAATTATTGGGTCTTGTAATTTTGAGCCGCTCTCCAACTAGTTCCTATAGCTACAAGCTTAAATACAAATACTGTCAGAGGTTAAATCACGAGTGACAAAAAGATCACGGGACGTCTATACCTCGTAGGCGTTTGTCAGTTATCAGAAATTATTTATCTATAATAATCAATACTCCATATTGGCATCTGATAGGATCACACAAAAGAGGTCAAGGAGATGTATCGTAATAAGTTATCTGTATTAAATATGATTTGATTGGAAACTATGAAGATTAGCCGAACTAAACTGAACTTAATAAAATGAGTATGGCGTAAGCGTAGCAGTGTCAATCAAAATATTGGTAATCCAACACATTTCTTAACTTTGCCAATTTATTAAGTGAAATAATCTATTTTTCAATATCTATAAAATAAATAATGAACAAATAGTATCTACAATCGTATACTGCTAACTATT